GTTAGGCCAACCTGGGTTAGCCAAGCTCTCTCTATCTCCCTCTCTCTCTCTTTCTCTCTTTCTCTCTCTCTCTCTCTTTCTCTCTCTCCTTTCTGTCCTCTTCTCTTTCTCTCTCTCTCTCTCTCTCTCTCTCTTTATCTTTTCTTCATCCCTCTCTCTCTTTTGCTCTTTCCTTCTCTCCCTCTTTCTTTTTCCCCTCTGTCTCTTTTTGTTCTTTACTCTCCCCACTCTCTCCCTATCTCTCTCTCTGTTCTCTCTCTCACTCATCTTTCTGTACTGTCTCTCCCTATCTCTCTCTCTCTCTCCCTCTCTCTTTCTCTCTTTTCTCTATCCCCTCTTTATCTTTTCTTCCTCTCTCTCACTCGCTCTTTTTTCTCTTTTCTTTCTCTCTCTGCTCTTTTGCACTCTTTCTCCTCCTTTCCTTCTCTCCCTCTTTATTTTTCCCCTCCGTCTCTTTTTGTTCTTTCTTCCCCGTCCCTCTCTCTCTCTCTCTCTCTCTCCCTCTCTCTCTCTCTCTCTCTCTTTCTCTCTCTCTCTCTCTCCGGGGCGTGTCGCTCTGCAGTTTTTAGTGCATTACAGCAGTCTGTTTACGTGATGCGTGTGTGTTTGTTGTGTCTGCTGTCTCTGCGGGTAGCCATAACACATTACCGCCTCTTCCTGGATGCCTCGCACGTCCGCGCCTTTGACTGTCCCGACTTTAAAACATTCTCTCTCTTTCTCTCTCCCTCTTTCCCTCTTTCTCTCTCCCTCTCTCCCCCTCCCCTCGTCTGTAAACCTGATTTAATCACTGTGGAGCTCGGTTAGAACAGATTACCTTCATTTGAGCCAGTTTAAAAGTTTTATCTGTCTGTGTGTTCGTGGTCCGTCCAGCTCGTCCCTCTGCGGCTGTAACGTTATCAGGCCGAGCGTTCTGGAGTCTGACCGCGAGTCTGCGAACGCGGCACAGCAGTGAACTTTCACTCTTTCTAACTTCTCTAACAAGGGGAATTCCACCAATATTTCTGAAATTCCTCGATTCACTGTTTGAGATCATAGATTGATTCAGAGTGGTTTGGTGTGAAATGGTTCAGATCTCTTTACAGTGGTGGTGATAGGAACCAGGGGTCGCCTTGACTACAACACAAATATAGACATTTTATTTACTATCCAAAACCACCAGTGAACCTACATGAGTCTTCTGAGTTTATATGGAATGTTGATGATGGAAAATCTGAAATAATATGTTTTCTTTGGGGACTATTTTGCCTCATAGCACCCTGCAAATTATGTATCCCTCCACGATGAATAGATTTTAAGGCCAAAATCTTCTCAAAACTATCGTAAAACAGTGTCTCAGTCATCAGGCAGTGAATTCATAACTATTTCATGTAGTAACTTTCTGTGAGGGAGCTTTTAGAGGTGGACGTCTGGTTCCTATCACCACCACTGTGAACAGTTCTGACTCTGTAAGTTTCTCTAGAACAGAGCATTTCACACCAAACCACTCCGAACAACTCTGTTTACATCTTAACCACTTAACAGAAATTTGAAAAACAGGTGGAATTCCCCTTTCAACCACACAAAACACTGGAACTCCAAAAGTGCATTTACATCCACGATTAAACGTCCTCATATTTATTTTTAACCGAGCAGGAAAAACAAAAATACACGAAAACAAAATGATCACATGAATTAATCACGATCCGCTCCTGTAATCACGATAAATTTATTACGGCCTCAAGCCGAGCAGTCACGCACAAACACACACAATCACGCACAAACACACACAATCACGCACAAACACACACACAAATACCACAGTACAGTTCACACACCTGCAGCTGTCCTCTTCCACCTCCTCTCTGTTAAAACGTTTAACCGTTTAATCGTTTTTAATGCGTCTCCCGTGGCTCGTATCCCAAACAGGCTGTGATATAAATATGTACTGTTAATTAAGAGCGCTCTCTGATCAGATCTGATTCAAATTCACAGATTTCACTCCACGTTTCAGACTCTTTGTCCTAACAAAGCCAGAAAAAGCCGTTTGTGGACTGAGTCTGGATTGTTTTGGCTGTTAAAATAGTTGTAGGACTGAATTTTACTCCGTTTTTCCATCCACCCCAGACATACAGTCATATGCACAAGCTCAAATGTTAAATTCCATGTTTTGAAAAAAAGACATCCTCTACAGAGAGCACACTTAAATGTGATGTTTTTTTTCTGCATGTTTCTGTGCACATTTTCTATTTATTTGCTGAGTTTAACAAAATAAATAAAACATAAAAGTATAAAATGTGCCATAACTTTTGCACAGGCCACGTTTTGTGTCTGTATGGTAAATTCAGCAAATAGACAGTAATAGTGCATTAAAATGTTCTCTGTAGAGGATGTGTTAACTTATTTTCACTTAAAAAATCAACAGCGATATGGAATTCGACCAGGGGTGCACAGACTTTTGCACATGACTGTACTTTATATATATCGCTGTTGTCGGAACAAAACCTTATATCTCAATATTGGTACCTTTACAGGAGAAGGAAAAAACATACTTGACTTTTAATGTAAGTCAATGGAACCAGACCAACACCTGATTTATTCAATCAATACGAATCGGTACTTCATAATGTTCAGTCAGGTGCTGCTGATGGTCTTTAATAAATCTGCGATGGCTGGAGAGCAGTGAGACGTCAGGAACCAACATTTTTCTTCAAAATAGCTCACAAGATGAAAACTTTTGTTTTGAAAATAAGAAATGATTATAATTATATTATTTATTTTACTGTATTTGTGTTGTGCATCTGTTCTGCTGCTGTTCTGTGTCTATACAAGCAAAACAGACGTATTGAGTCAGTAACTGCTTCAACTGTGTGTTTACACTTAATAATCTGATTACTGTAGAAAATCAGATTGTGTCAGTAACTGGTTTAGTGTGTTTACACTTAATAATCCGATAACGGCAGAAAATCAAATTGTGTCAGTAACTGATTCAGCGTGTTTACACTTAACAATCTGATTACTGCAGAAAATCAGATTGTGTCAGTAACTGGTTTGGTGTGTTTACACTTAATAATCTGATTACTGTAGAAAATCAGATTGTGTCAGTAACTGGTTCAGCGTGTTTACACTTAACAATCTGATTACTGCAGAAAATCAGATTGTGTCAGTAACTGGTTTGGTGTGTTTACACTTAATAATCTGATTACTGCAGAAAATCAGATTGTGTCAGTATCTGGTTTGGTGTGTTTACACTTAATAATCTGATTACTGCAGAAAATCAGATTGTGTCAGTAACTGGTTTGGTGTGTTTACACTTAATAATCTGATTACTGCAGAAAATCAGATTGTGTCAGTAACTGGTTTGGTGTGTTTACATTTAATAATCTGATTACTGCAGAAAATCAGATTGTGTCAGTAACTGGTTTAGTGTGTTTACACTTAATAATCTGATTACTGCAGAAAATCAGGTTCAGTGGTTTTCAATAATGTGCTTAGGTGCCTGAAACTTTACTGTACTGCAGGTTTTCTGAAAGAAATAACTTTTTTATTTAATGAGTGGAAATGAAACGAGCGGAGGGCGCTGTCTGACGGCGGTCTTGTCCACTGCCACTCTCGGCCTGTTTCTCAGATGTGCTGACCGCTCCGTGCCCTCGAACACTCACAAAAGGTCCTCTCTTCAGCAGCGCCCACTCCGCTCCTCAGTGCGTTATGAGTCCACGCGGTCTTTCAGCCTCTGCGTCCGCAGAACCAAACCTCACTGACTTCATTCATCTGGTGTTGGAGGGAGACGCTGTAACTTGATTTGATAGTCAAATATCCTCCATTTTAATACTGTTTGAATATTCCAATCAGAAAATATTTTACATTAAAGCTTATATCACAATCTCCGGAAAACAGGACCAAACCTCAGACAGATGCAGCAGCTCTGTTAACCCCATCAAACCACAGAGCTGCTCAGCTAGAACTTGTGAAGGTCCAACTTGATTATAAAGGTCCAGATAAACCAGGGACTCTGTATATATATATATATATATATGTCTGTGTATGTATAACATATATACTGCATTAAACAATCACTTTCCTGTTCTACTGTAAAGTAACCAGTTTTGGAGATACATGTTTTTTTCCGCTCTCTCAATCTCTCTTCCTCTGTTTCTCTGTCACTCTCTCTCCCTCTCTCTCTCTCTCTTTTTCCTCTTGGTCTCTTTACTGCTGTCCATTCATCTCCTCTTTCTCTCTCTCTCCCTCCTCTCTCTCTTTTTTCCTATCTTTCCCTCTCTCCCTCTTCTTTCTCTCTCTGTCTCCCTCCCTCTCTCCTCATCTGTTTCTCCCTCTCTCTCTTTTTTCCTCTCTTTCTTTCTCTCCCTCTTCTTTCTCTCTCTGTCTCCCTCCCTCTCTCTTCATCTGTTTCTCCCTCTCTCTTTTGCCTCTCTCTTTCCCTCTCTCTCTCTTGCTCTCTCTTTCCCCCTATCTCTCCTTCATCTCTCTCTTTCCCTCCCTCTCTCTCTCTCTCTCTCTCTCTCTCTCTCTCTGTCAGGGAGCAGCTGAACATTTTTGTGGATTAGCCAACTGCGTCACTTTTCAGATCAGACTTTAGCTGGACTCTTTGCTGCCCACTAGTGGACGGAATGAGCAGCGCGCTCACAGAGAGGCAGACAGGCTGACCGCATCGTTACCACCGTGTTTTCACACCTGAAAATCTGCTGCTGTCTGATTTTAAAGGAGAAGGAATAAACGCTCTTAACGTAGATTACATTAACACCTGGCAGTGTTGCTTAAAAACAGCTTTAGACGATGTGAGGATATGAGAATCTGCTGTTCTGATTAATAACGCCGCAGTGTTGTTGTTGATGGGTGACTGTTATTGGAAAAGAATGCAAACCACAAATGGTTAAACTTTTTTCCATGTGTTGCAATAACTGTCTTCCTTTTCCTGATCAATATTAGTCTTGTACACTTTGAGTGGTTTTAACCCTTCTCTCTCTCTCTCTCTATCTCTCTCTCTCTCTCTCTCTCTCCTGCAGCTGAACTGGAGTTTGTTCAGATAATAATCATAATTGTGGTGATGACCGTGATGGTAGTAGTGATCATCTGTTTGCTGAACCACTACAGGCTCTCCGCCTGGGCCTTCTTCAACCGCCACAGCCACGCCCACCGCCGGGACGCCGCCATGCAACCGGTGAGAGAGAGAGAGAGAGAGACTTTGTAGTAAAAACAATTTTAACCTGGAGTAGCAACAAAATACTCCTGACTTTGTAAAGTATATTTTTACAAAAGCTCTCAGTTTCCAAAAGATACTTACATTTTATATGTATTTTATATGTGTGTTTTATATATATATATGTGTGCATTGTTATATATGTCATATTATGTAATAATATTAGAATTACATATACTTATGTGCGTATAATATATATATATATATATATATATATATATATATATATATATATATAATGTTCATTTGCATTTCTTTGTTTCTTTATATTTTTTTATATTTTTGCTTGGTTATTTTCAGATGTATGGCTTTGTGTATGCGTCTGTGTGTGTGTGTGTGTGTGTGTGTGTGTGTGTGTGGTTTAGAGTGCTGAGTGGAGTGAAGCATGTCTAGACTACTGCACGTAATGAGAGAGGGAGAGAGAGAGAGAGGGTGGGGTAAAGAGGAGAGAGGAGAAAGGAGAGTGAGAGAAAAACTGGAGAGGAAAAAGTGAGAAGGGAGAGAGAGAAGAAAGGAGAAAGACAGCATGGGAAAGAGTGAGAGGGGAAAGAAGGAGGGAGAGAGTGAGAGGGAGCGGTTTGGGGAAAAGAGGAAAGAAAGAGGGGAAAGGAAAGAGTGAGACAAGAAAGGAGAGGGGGGGGGGAGAGTAAAAAGAGACGGGAAAAGGAGACAGTAGAAAGGGGGAAGGTGGAGAGAGACAGAGAGAGAGGAGAAGAAAGCGAGAGAAAGGAAACAAAAAGGTACGGAGAGAGAGAGAGGGTGGGGAGTGGGAGAGAGAGAAGAGTAAGGAGGAAAGACAACCACCTGGAAGATCTGGTAGACACCAAGGCCCAGACCCATTTCTTATTTTTACCCCTACCCCTTGTTTTCGAGTGTCTCCTTGTCCCTTGGAACTGAGTTACAGGGTAGTGGTTGAAATCTTCCCTCTGAAATGGGACCCTCAAATAAAAAGAGCATCACTTCATTAACAGCTACCAGCGCTGCTCTGTAGGCAACCCTGCCAGTCTGCAGTGACAGCAGAGGAGGGTAAAGTTCAGCTCCTCACAGCTGGGCTTTAGTTACATTTAGGGCATCGTCTGCCTTCAAAGAGGGGGCAATTATTTATTATCACCCTCCCCTAATTCTTCAGTGATATGAAGCTGAAGTCAGATATTCACCAGATTCTCGTTCAAATTTTCCCGTTCCACCTTAAATGGAACGGCAGTTACATTCAGGCGCTTCAGGCGTCAGAACTGCTGGACTATTTAAGGTGGAACGGGAAATTTAGCTACCTACTGAGAAATACTATTAGCGTTTTTTTATGCTTGTTATGAAGAAAAGGACCATAAAACACTGAAACAACATTAAACTAAGATAAAAAATGGTTATCATATTTTTTTAACAGAGAAAATTCTCACATTTGTGGGTTTCTTTGGTCTCTTGTTCAGCCGTCTTGCTGGGTTTTTTTTTCTCATATCACTCTGTTTGGAGTCTGAAAAATCTCATGTAGCCCCAACACTTCACATTACCCCTCTATCTCAATGGCAGTCGGGACACCCTACCCCTAGACGTGAACATGACCAACGGAGGGGTAAAGGCTAAGTGGTAGGGGCGAGGGGTGAAATGGGATTGGGCCCAAAACTGTCCCCATCGGATAAACAGCACTAGTTGACTCTGAAAAATCTAATATTTAATGACTGGAAATGAAAAAAATTAATGGTGGTTTCTGACTTTTGCACAGTGCTGTATTTCCCTCACATCATTCAGCCTACACACACACACACACACACACACACACACTAACCTCTAAGCAACCTCTCTCCACTTCCTCCACACAGCCTTCATCACTCTCCAACAATCCCCAGACTCTTAAATTCAAACAAAACATATTCAATTAACTCTCAAACTTTACAGATTCCCGTTTCATTACTCTGTTTTTTTGCACTTATTGATTATATCTCCTCATTTGCATTTTCTTATGTCTTCTGATGTTATTCATGCATCTGCTCTTTTCCCCTTTAGTATTAGGAGACCTATTATTTTCCTGCCTGCGGCGTATTTGGAGTTAAATATGCATCGGCAGTTTTTCACTCTTGTATAAAAAGTCATTTCAGTTCAGATGTGCCGAGTTTCTCTGGAAGGCGGCTCATGTTCTGTGTGTTTGTGTCTGTATTCTCTCAGGACGGTTGCGCGTGGCCCACAGACAGTCTGGTGACACAACAAGGAGCCACTGAGGTACGTGTAGAACAGCGTGTTTGACACCCACGACGGGAATGGGACTCGAGTCGAGCCTGTGTTTGAGCACAGACCCAGTGTTCTCCAGCAAATAACAACAAACTCAGATGTTGGGTTAGTGGGTGGTGTGATTTCAGAAGTTTCTAGAAGGTTCTCCTCTTTTCACATTGAGTGCGTTTACATGCACTTAATAATCCGATAACTGCAGACAATCAGATTTTGTTAGTAATCTGATAAATGCGTTTACATGCGCTTGAGTAATCAAATAATGGGGAAACTCCAGGTCTACATGAGTCAGACAGTAATCAGATTTCTGCTTTACGACCAGCCAATAAACTCACAGAAGAAGGCATGATGTAAACGTAACGTAAAACTCAAACTTCATTCTGCAGCTTTTTTTGTTTTTTTTTAAACGTCGCACCACTTTATCTGAAAATATGAACATACATCATCTGGAAGATGAAGAATATTAAAATCCTTCAATCGAATCTGATTATGATCAGATTATTGAGTGCATGTAAACACTCAATGTTTAATTTGGTTCTCTCCTCTTTTTCTGGAACCTTTAGAGGGCAACATTAGTTTGGTGGAGATGGATGAATGGATTTGTTGGAAAATGTTGGGGTTTGATGGAGAACCATGGTCATTGCTGAAGAATGCAGGTGTTTGGAGAATAGTGTTTCAGAAGAATTAGGTGTCAGTTTGGCATTCAAACAATAGTCAAAAACCAACATTACAGAGTTGTGGTTTGTTGGAGAAAGTAGGTGTTTGTTGGAAGTGCTAGTCAGAGAAAGTTGGTTTTAGTTGAGGACGTTGGTGTTTAGTGGAGAATGACAGTGTTCGTTGGAGAATGATAATGTTTGGTAGAGCATAATGGTGCTTGGTGGAGAATGATTTGGTGTTTGTTGGAGAAAGTTGGTGTTTAGTGGAGAATGATACTGTTAGTTGGAGAACAATGGTGTTTGTTGGAGAAGGTTGGTGTTTGATGATGAAATGCTGGTGTTTAGTGGAGAATGTTGGTGTTTAGTGGAGAAATGTAATGTTAATTGGAGAACATTGGTGGTTGTTGGAGAAGGTTGGTGTTTGATGACGAAATGCTGGTGTTTAGTGGAGAATGTTGGTGTTTAGTGGAGAAATGTAATGTTAATTGGAGAACAATGGTGGTTGTTGGAGAATAATGGTACTTGGAGAATAATGGTCTTTGTTGGAGAATGATTTGGAGTTTGTTGGAGAAAGCTGGTGTTTAGTGGAGAATGATGGTGTTAGTTGGAGAATGATGGTGTTTGTTGGAGAAAGTTGGTGTTTAGTGGAGAGTGATAGTGTTAGTTTGGAGAACAATGGTGTTTTTTGGAGAAAGTTGGTGTTTGATGGAGAATGTTGATGTTAATTGGAAAACGATGGTGTTGGAGAATGATGGTGTTTGTGGGAGAATGATGATACTTCTTGAAAAATAAAGTGCCAGTATATCTTTCATACTGTAGCCAAAAGTCAACATAACAGTGTTGGTGTGGTGTTGGTAGAGAGTGATGACATTTGGTGGGGAAGTGTTTGATGGAGAATGTTGGTGTTTTGGTGGAGAATATTGGTGTTGGTAAAGAAAGATGGTGTTTGGTGGAGAGTGATGATATTTGGTGAAGAATGATTTGGTGTTTGTTGGAGAAAGCTGGTGTTTAGTAGAGAATGATAGTGTTAGTTGAAGAATGATGGTGTTTGTTGGAGAAAGTTGGTGTTTGGTGGAGGGTGATTATATTTGGTGAAGATTACTGGTGATGGTACAGAATGTTGGTGTTTGGTGGAGAATTCAGGTGTTTGTTGGAGATGCTTCTTGATGTGTCCGTAAATCTTATATACTGTAGCCAAAAGTCAACATTACAAAGTTGGAGTTTGGTGGGGAACTTTGAAGTTTGGTGGTTAGTTCAACAATGCTGCTTTCTCATGCTCCATTTCCTTTCTCCGTTCTCCAGGTGATGTACGGGCCGCGGAGTGGGGAGCGCTTCAACCCGCCCTCCTTTATGCAAAGGGACAGATTCTGCCGCTTCCAGCCCACTTACCCGTACCTGCAGCAGGACATCGACTTACCGCCCACCATCTGCCTGTCGGACGGCGAGGAGCTGCCCCCCTATAAGGGCCCCTGCACCCTGCAGCTGAGAGACCCCGAGCAGCAGCTGGAGCTGAGCCGCGCCTCCGTACGGGCGCCGCCCAACCGGACCATCTTCGATAGCGATCTGATAGACGTTTACGTGCATGGGGGCGGACCCAGGCCTCCGAGCAGCAACTCTGGCAAGAGTGCTTCGAACTCGCGCATGGAAGGGCCACCGCCCACCTACAGTGAGGTGATTGGCCAGTCCTACCCAGGCTCCGCCTCTTTCCTGCACCAGCACAGCAATAACGCACCGCCGTCCAATCAGAGGACAGCGAGCCGCTCCACCCAGCCCAGCGCAAGCACAACCACGACCGCGTCCACCAAGGTGGCGAAGGACAGCCGACGAGACAAACCAGTGTGACTTAAAGACAGGCACAGAGGGGGCGAGGGAGGGGGCGGGGCTGTTCGACCCCGCCTCCACGTTGCGAGTGGGCATGGCTTCCCTCTGAGCGTTCCCTTGCACAATTTGAAAATTCAGAAAAAAATCGAGGAACCAAGCTTAAGAAAATATCTCTTTTGTATACGTTTTAGTTTCTTTTGTTTGTTTTTTGCTAGAACTCGTGGGCCTCGTGCGGATGTGGATGTTTGGGCTTCTTGGCTACTTTTCTGTCTGTCTGTCTGTTTTTGTAATGCTCTTACCTTTATTTATAGTAACCGAGCGTCATCGCGGATCGATCGAGTGTGGTTTGCTTGAGCGACTGTGCAGATTTATAGGATTTTTTTGTTTTTGTTTTTTTTTTTCAAAATTTACGTTTTCTCAAGATCTGTGCACAAAAAAACCTTTTCATAACAAATCGAGATCCAAAATTTGAGTGCCATGATTCATGCAATTACTTAAATCTGCGTGAGATGACTCAACAGCAGAGAAAAAATCTAAGTTGCACTAACTTATTGTTTGAATAGCTGAAAATAGCTAACCTTTGTTTCTGTTCACCATGACATTGAAGTCTTTTAGAATATCTCAGCATCCATTTCTCTGTTGCGAGCTTTTTTTTCCCCTTTTTTTCCTGTTTTTCTTTCATTCTTAAAATGGGGGGAGATGTAGACTCTGATCCAGCCTAAGAAAACTCCACTACTAAACTACGAGATGGCACTTAAAAAAAGGGTTAAAGCAAACTGTTCCGGTTCCGTTTTTGTTTTCAGTGCGGACGGAAGTCGTTTCATGTGCACCTCTTTCATCCTGTCAAAAAAATAGCACTTTAAACTTTGCTCATTTCAGCATTTTCATGGGGTCCAAATGCAATGGGTCATGGGAAATGTAGTCTTATGCACATCCACCACATCCTGTAATTTCTGAGTGTAAAACTGCAGTTTAGTGGGGTTTTTTGTTGATATTTTTAATTCCCCTTTGTTGTTCTTCATCTAGGTGACCTCATACGTGGTCTTCAATGTCAGTGACATAGCCAAAGGTTCTGTGTAGGTGTCCGTTTTTATTTGCAGTTTAGCTCCGAGTGCATGTCATGGCGTACGAGTTTTTGGATGCCCTTTTACACGAGAGGAGCAAAGAGCCTCTTTTATGCTCTTAGTAAGTCTATCTTACCGTAACGCACTCGTCCGCACTTGGCACTCATCGCGAATGCTTTCAGACACACTGATTGTTTTTTGAGACGTGCTTTCAGAACTGCCGGTCCGTGGCCAACCTTTAAGAAAGGCCAGTATAAAACATGATTTATTTGATGCGAGGGGCCTGATGTGGAGCTTTGCATTGTATAGAAGGCAGAAACATTTATTTGCATGGATTTATTTACACACTGCCTGTCAAAACGTTGGGGACTTTAGCTTTTCAGCAAATTACTTTTCGGTAACACTTTACTGTAGGGTGCTGTTCATAAGGCTACATGACACCTACGTAAGGTTGTGCTTCCAACTGACATAACCCTACATAACTGTTTATAAATGCTTATTATAACAGGCGTCATCTGTCATAAAGGCTACTTTAGCTGACTGATCAAAATTGGCAAATGTAACCTTTATAGCGAATGACGCTTATCGGAACAAGCATTTATAAACAGTTATGTAGGGTTATGTCTGTTGTCATGACAAACTTATGTAGGTGTCATGTTGCCTTATGAACAGCACCCTACAGTAAAGTGTTACCTGATGTTCTTCAGATTGATGGAGAATATCTATATAGCACCACAAAAGGGTGATGCTTGTAACAATAGCAGAACACTTTTTGTAGCTGCATAGAACCATTTTCAGAAAGGTTCTGTGTAGAACTATACACATTCTCCGTCAATCTGAAGAACGTTTTCACCATGCCAAGAGCAATTTAAGCATAAAATGGTTCTACACAGAATATTTACACTGGAGAAAGCCTCAGCCTGAACAGAAGAAGTTTTAGCTTGGGTGGATTTTAGCCCGCTAGCGAGCAAGCTAAGTGGTAGCTCACATTACTGTTAATAAAACAGTCAAAGTTGGGGTGGTAAGTTAGCTTTCTAGCCACATTAGCAATTCACATATTTAAGGAATATTCCACTTTTTGCTGCATCTGTATTATATGGTCGATTACCACGGGCAGTAATGTCAACACTTTCCCGCTGTACTTAGAAAAGAACCGAAACTCGAAACTCAGTTACAACAGAAGTCAATGGGCAGGGAAATTATTGTCCGAGGTTATCGACTGTGTGCTACAGATGCGGCACATAAAGTTTAGGCTGGAAATCGCTGGTGCGTTCCTTCAGTATGTTCATTAACCTGCTCTTCATACCAAGGATTAACATGGATGAACATGAAACTGAGTTTTGAAGCTAAATAAACCCTTAGCATTAACACATAGCTGCTAGATGATAACTAAGCCATTGCAAGGACAATGAATTGACCTCTCCATGCTCCACAAGCCGCTAGGTCAAGCTTCATCGAATGCTAGTAAACATCCCGTTCAACCTAATGAGAAACTGTAAAGATGTTTGTACAGAGTTGCTACGTTATCACTTTGAAATCCAGCGTTACCGAGCTGAACTGTGTTGTTCTAGCTAACCGAAACTAGGCAGGTTGGAAGCAGCAAAGATGAATTTGCCACCTTGCTAACATTAGCTTGATTGAAAAACTCCACCTGATCTATTCAAACAGTGCAAAACTGCACAAACATACAAAATAAACATGATTTTAAATCAGTAAGAGCGAACAGGCTGGACAGAGCCTCAGCTTGAACAGAAAAAGCTTTAGCTCTGGTGAATATTAGCCCGCTAGCTAGTGAGCTAAGTAGTAGCTCACATTACTGTTAGATAAAAAAATAAATCAGTTAAGGTTGGGGTGGTAAGTTAGCTCTTTAGTCATGTTAGCAAGTGTTAATTACTTCTTCATAACAAAAGGAGTTCCTTAACCACGTTAGCTAACCTGTTTCTTCAAAATAAAAGGGTTAGGGATAAGCGTAGTTAGCTAACACATGCTGAAAGGGGAAATTATCCAACTTGATTTAACTACAGCACAAATAAATCAGTTAAGGTTGAGGTGGTAAGTTAGCGCCTTAGCCACGTTAGCAAGTGCTAATTACTTCTTCACAAAAGGAGTTCCTCAGCCATGCTAGCTAACCTGTATCTTCAAAACAAAAGGGTTAGTTATAAGCTTAGCTAGCTAACATGCTGAAAGTGTAAGTTATCCAACTTTATTTTATTACCTCACAAATAAAACACTTAATGTTGAGGTGGTAAGTTAGTGCCTTAGCCACCTTAGCCACTGTTAATTACTCCACAACTAAAGGAGTTCCTCAACCACGTTAGCTTATTTAATTACATCACAAATAAAACAGTTAAGGTTGGGGTGGAAAGTTAGCTCCTTAGCCACTGTTAATTACTTCACAACTAAAGGAGTTCCTCAACCACGTTAGCTAACCTGTTTCTTCAAAACAAAAGGGTTAGGGGTAGCTTAGCTAGTTAACACGCTGACACGTGTACGTTATCCGACTTTATTTAGTTATAGCGCAGAGAAGGAACTTGCATGGCTTCTCTGCAACAATTTAATAGCGCTAAAAACTTTGACCTAACATTAATGTGAGTTACCTCACCAGTGCTTTTGTTAGCTAGCTAACTTGGGTGGCTAGCTTGCCAGCCAAGTGGCTAATTGCGGCCAAGCTAAACCCGCCTGACAAAAATCATAGGAATCATTAAAGATTTCTCCTTGTTCTTTGTCCAGCAGTCTGTAATGGTACGTAGTGTTTGATATCACAGCGTAAAGGATTGTAGTGGTTTAATAGTTGTTCTGGGACTGACTTCAAATGCATTTTTCCTTTAAGCGGTTAAACTAAATAAAATAAAAATAAAAATCGTATTCATTTGAACATTTTAACAATAGAAGGAAAGCAGCCCCCAAGTGTTTGACAGGCACTGTGCTTCTCCTCCCTCACAATAGAAGATTATATAAATGAGTGAGTGTCCATTTACGGTTATGGTCAAACAGTAGCCGCCTCCCTCTGTTTTCTCTCAGATTGAGGCTCTGAATCGGGCCTCGTCTCTCTGTTCTCCTCTCTGTCACTCGTTCTGAGCGTGCGGTGTGCGTTTTTACGTGTGTTTTTACCGCTGCTGCTATGCTGCTGCTGCTGCTGCTGCTGCTGCCCATTGTCCAGTGTGTCCACTTACCCTTTCACTTCGAGTTTTCTTTCAAAAATGTTTTATTTACGTTTTAGACCCAGACCTTTGTGCTCTTTTTTTATGTTCGTTTTCCTTTCGCTTGTACTTTTGTGCTGTCATAGTCACAGTTATATACATACATACGTACATACACATATATAGATATATACATATATATATTATAAAAAGAAAACAAGTGTTTATTTTTACGTTTTTCAGCTGAGAGGTTTTGCATGTTACTTCGAGCAAATTTGGTGCCTAAAGCAGGTCGTGTTAAAGCAGGCATAGGAACCCACTTGCACTCTAAAAATCCCCCCCTCCCAAAAAAAAAATCCCCCCCACCTTCGTTGTGCCTCACTTCTTACGGTGCTTTTTCAGTAGTCCGACTTTGTTTATTTGTACTGTGCTGTATATAACTTGAAAATATTATGCACATATCCTACCCAATGGGTAGAAAAACCACAAGAGAACAATGTTAATACTGTAATATAATGTATAGATAATATTAAAAAAGAAAAATTTAACACGGTGGCATCAAGTTTTGTGAATGCCTACGAAATTGTGCTTTGTCTTTTTTTGTAAAACCGAGTAAAGTTTGCAAAAATAATGCTACAGTATGGTCACATAAATACAAAAAAATACTTCTTATATTTTTTCCTATACCGTAAAGTAAATGCAAAATCTGTTATGTGATGAAACAAATATTCTGATATAAAGGCAGTTGTACACAGGATGATAAACTAGCTGCTGCTTTTGTTACTTCCAGAGAAATAATTATCAATGCCAGCGCTTGCCATTTATTTATTTGACTTACTATTATTTTTTTTATTTGGTGACTGCTAGATGTTTGGACTTATATCCGCTCAACCAACGGCAGAAAACATCACGGAAACTCTACCACCGTTAAAGAAACGGACACGGACAGATCGGACAACGGATTATAAATGTGGTGGATCATATCAAGCTAAAGGGACTTTTATTTTGTCCATTTCACCACAGTTTGTCCTTTTTTTCTGGGTGTTCCAGGTGAGCGATAGGGCTGGGTATCTTTTAAAAATTCATACTAATACTTTGACTTCAATACTGATTCCTGAACAATACTTTTATTTTTTAAATTATAAATAATTTCAAGTTAAAAGTCAACTTGCTTTGAAATACATGCTATATTTAAAGCAAAATAAATGTGTATATATAAATATATCTCTATACTAAAAAAATCCAATTTGTACTTATATGTACTTTTTTGTAGTATATCTTAAATTTTAGCGCAGAAGTTGAAATAAATGACATTAACATTAACATGCCATGTAATTTACACAGCCAATCAGCATTGTTGATTTTGGAACAAGCATGCTTATTGGCTCACTGATGCTAATATGAAATTTGGTGTTAAACAACACTGAATTTTTTGATACTTATAAAAGTCATAAAGGTGTTCTGATTTGATACCCAGCCCTACTGAATGTCTTATGGCATTTACACACTTTTCAATGAAAAATGAACAATATCGGCTCAACCGACGGCAGAAAACAGCACGAAAACTCACCGTTAAAGAAACGGACGTGGACGGATTTGGACTTTATACTGGACAATAAAGCTGGTGGATCATATCAAGCTACGTGAACCCAACTAAAGGGACTTTTATTTTGAATTATATCATAATTTGTCCTTTTTTCTCTTGGTTAACTCACATAATCCAGTGGCATTTGCACACTGTCGGATGAGAAACGATCCACAGACTGAACTGATTGTTTCTGCATGTTCGTTCTGTCTTTTTTCTGGTCCAATCAGCAGCCTCCTCTCTAAAAAACACACCACCAGGCCGCGCTCCCTCCTGTACTGGCTTGAATGAACGAATGGACGAGCAGACGAGTGAATGAATGAACAGATGAATGACGGATGAATGATTTTGGGGCTCACGTTCAGCACCTCGTTCCACGGATTTGAAACACCCCAGCAGTGTGCGTGTGTCTCATTTTTGCCTTGATTTTTATCTCAGACGTTACAGGACTTTATTACACAACTTTTTTTTTTCTTCAGAAGAACCAAGTTCAGTGAGTGAGGAGACACTGCTGTGTACTTATGCCTTTTTTTTTTTAAATCTTATTATTTAAGCAATCGTGATGTCATCGGTTTTCAGCCTGAGGTCTGTTACTGCAATACTTTTACAGGAAAAGGTGACTAAAAAAAACAATTAAAAAAACATAAAGGGAAAAAAAATAAAAATATTGCTCAAAGTACCGTTGTAGTCCTTCATGAAACAATTCCATGCTTGTTCTTTCGCTGTGATCAAATGGCTAGAAAGAGCGATTAAAGTTGAGGAAAATAATCCTGACACGAGTCTTCTGTCGTTTGTGTTTATTCTCTGTTTTAGGGGCCAGCAAACTGACCGCTTTGACCTTTAAAGGGCCCATATCATGGAAAACCAAAGTTCTGAATTCACTGTTTTTGTGACGTCATGAAAAAAACATGCCATTTACATATACACTATATGGGCAAAAGTATTGGGACACCTACATGTTACACCCACAGGAGCTTTTATGAATCCCATTCTAAATCCATAGGCATTAATATGGAGCTGGTCCCCCTTTGCAGCTCTAACAGCTTCCACTCTTCTGGGAAGCTGCCAACAAGATTATGGAGTGTCTGTGGGAGTTTTAGCCCATTCATCCAGAAGAGCATTTGTGAGGTCAGACACTGATGTTGGGCGAGAGGGTCTGGCTCACAATCTCCGTTCTAGCTCATCCCAAAGGTGTTAGATGGGGTTGAGGTCAGGACTCTGTGAGGGTCAGTCAAGTTCTTCCAGACCAAACTTGGAGTTTGCTTTGTGCACTGGGGCTCAGTCATGCTGGAACAGAAAAGGTTTTTCTCCAAACGGTTCCCACAAAGTAGGAAGGACAATTGTCCACGATGTCTTGGTCTCCTGAAGCATTAAGGTTTCCCTTCACTGGAACTAAGGGTTCTAGACTAACCCCTGAAAAACAGCCCCATATCATCATCCCTCCTCCACCAAACTCTACAGCTGACACAGTGCAGTCAGGCAGGTAACGTTCTCCTGGCATTCGCCAAACCCAGACTCGTCCATCAGACTGACAGATAGAGAAGCTGATTTGTCACTCCACAGAACACGTTTCCACTGCTCCAGAGTCCAGTGGCGGCGCTTTACTCCACTTCATCTGACGCCTGTCATTGTGCTTGGTGATGTACAGCTTGTGTGCCGCTGCTCGGCCATGGAGCGACTCATGCCATGAAGCTCCCGGCGCTCAGTTTCTGTGCTGATATTAAAGCCAGAGGAGGTTTGATCTCTGCAGTTATTGATCAGCAGAGTGTTGGTGTCTTTTATGCTCTATGCTCCTCAGCGCTCGGTGACCCGCTCTGTGGCTGAGTTGCTGTGGTTCCTAAAAGCTCCCACTTTCACTAACACCACTCAGTTGATCGTGGAAAATCTAGAAGGGAAGAAATTTCATGAATTGACTTGTTGCAACTGTGGCGTCCTATTACAGCACCACGCTCGACTTCAGTGAGCTCTTTAGAACGACCCACTCTTTCACTAATGTGTGTAAAGGCAGGCTGCACGGCTAGGTGCTTGATTTTATACCCCTGTGGCAACGAGACCGAATGAAACACTTGAGTTTAATGATTAAGAGGCCCAATACATTTGTCCATGTAGTTAATATACACTTTTCAGCATACAGCAGTTTAGCCGCACCCACTCACACTGAAGCTATATTGAGTGCTTTAGGTCGGATTGTTTTTTGAACAAAGCACAATGTAGTGCATCCAATCAGAGCAGAGCTCATTTACATATGTCAGTCTTAAAGGCACAGCGACACAAACAGCCTGTTTTATTCTAAGGGATAAAGAGAGGGCAGAAAATGGTCATGTAGAAATGAATTATGACTGCTACATAAAGCCCCACAAATACCAGACATGGAGCTCAGGGTGAAAATAAAATGGAAAAAAAATAGCAGATGGGCCCTTTAAAGTCAGTTTGAAATAAGACCGGATCTTTTTAGAATTTAAGTTCCTGTCTCTGGTCATATTAAACACGATTCATCATGTGTCACTTAAAGGAATAAACTCTTATTTTCTTTAAATTGTGATGATGTTTAGCCCCACCTCTAAAACGTCTTCTGCTTACTGATGATGTCACCGTGCACCAGCAGGCAGAGCAAAACTTAACCCTTTTAAATTTAACCCCTTAAAATCTCAGGCTTATTGTATACTAAGGCTTATTATTCAGTAACTACAGGGACCTCAGTGCAAACTGGCTGGGCTATTCTTAGGTTATAGACGTGTGTAATAAAACTTTGGGCCCTGTCAATTTAAGGGGTTAAACAATGATATCATGTTTTACCTCCCCCTCCCAGCCCCACCTATCATGGAGAGTAAACGGTCAGCCCACACGAACACGGCAATGCATTAAAGTGATAGTTCTGAAAAAAAAATCTAATTTCCACAGACCACCCCAACCCCCCTTAACCGAAATAATCATGTTTGGTGTCTGAAGTTTGCTTCTTCAGTTTTAGCGCTGGAGCTACGAGGCTAATGTAGCTAACAAGTAATGGAAGTTTATACTCCATGAATTAGCATGATGCTAACTGCATACCTTAACCATCACATGCTCTATTCAAACCGTGTGGAGTTCTGAAATCTGTCAATTTTTATCAATTTTAATATGTTAATGTTGTCTTTATTGTAAGACGTATGTGTCGTTATTCAGCAACAAGTTGAAATATCCCAGATATTAAGCACATATCGGTTAGGGAACCAGCCCTGTGACCAGAAGGTTGCCGGTTCAATGCCCTGAGCCGACAGTACGTGACTGAAGTGCCCTTGAGCCCCCAACTGCTCCCCGGGCACTGTGGATAGGGCTGCCCACTGCTCTGGGCAAGTGTGCTCACTGCCCCCTAGTGTGTGTGTTCACTAGGGTGTATGTGGTGTTTCACTGCACGGATGGGTTAAATGTGGAGGTGAAATTTCCCTGTTGTGGGACTAATAAGGGTCATGTAATAAGGTCGGCACCCCGCTGACTGTTTGCCACTGCTGGTCCACCCTCAGACCACCCAGATTGCTGTCCTGCATACAAACTCTAACTAGTTTTTCAATCTCCTCAAACAGATTTTGAAAGCACAGAGACTTTTATTTTAGAAAATAAACAAGACAAATATTACAAACAACTGAGAGAAAAAAAAAATCATGACTAGGCCTGATATAAAATGATTTTATAGAAAATGTTGCTGACGCTGAGCTGGATTAAATGATTTACTAAACTAATTTACAAAGTATAGCTAAAGAAGGAAGGAAGGAAAAGTAAGTAAATTGGACTGTGAGTGGAAAATGAGCGATGTTAAGTAGAATTTTGTCTAATACTCTGCTTAAACACCGGTGGGCCGCCTGGAATAGGCCAGCTTTGCCATCAGTGGGCCGACAGAGTCCAAAGGCCGCCAAAATGGATTTATTTTTGTTATTAAACTCATTATAGCTTGAAATACTGCATGCATATGTAATAATTAGGATAACCTAATAAATATGTTTGTCAGAAATGCAGGAATACTGCATAGACTTCAAAACTGACATACATTTAACAGATGAGAGATCCCACACTCTGACCTGAGTCTGTACACCTTCCAATGGGAATATATTAATATAAAACTAGTGAAGTATTATTCTTAGTGTTGTATTTGTACCCTGTTAATATTTAAGCTCAGCTTAGCATTCTGTAAGCAATTAAACTCAGTATTTAAGGTGCAGTTTCAAACCTGATATAGCAAATTTTAAATTTTAAAATTTCAAATGTTGCATAGCTCCAGCAATTAAAAAGAAGCTTTTTCTTGATTTTATTATCAAGGAAATAATTTGTGTGAGTGGACAGGCATTAAGTGAGTTGCTGTGGAATGATCCTGTTAATCTACACCAGGGGTTGGCAATGTGGCTCTGGAGCCTCATGCGGCTCTTTTACTGTCCTGTTGTGGCTCCACAGCTGAATCAGATTAGTAGGTAAAAATAAAATAATCCTCCTTTGCAGTAAAATAAAGCTCTGCTGATCGTTCAACACAGTTTAACAATAAATGATCTTAAACTCTGGAGTTAATGTAGAACTGCTAATTCACCCTTTAACCCTGAAGATCAGCGCAGACTGCTGGTCACCATAGCAACACAGATAACAATAATCTCGCCTAGCTAGTAGCTAACGAAACGGCAAAGAGAGAGATTTAAGACAAACATCGATAATTTGGAGATGAATGGACTTATGTTTATAATCACTCCAGCTGGTTTCCTGATACGTTTAATCTGCAAACTGTCAAACACTAAAAAGTCACCAGGCTGAAGTCGCTTCTCATTCGCCAGCTTCTTGTTCAAATTTTCAGTTCCACCTTAAATGGTGCAGCAGTTACATTCTGGCACCTCAGGCACCATTTAAGGTGGAACGGGGAAATTAGAACAAGAAGCTGGCGAATGAGAAGCAACTTCAGCCTCGTAAAGAGTTGAACGTTGAGAGACATTTTACAAGAAACTGTTCTATTTTTCATGAAGTTTCCTGTCAGAGATGCGAGAAAAGCTGAGCTAAAGCTTAAAGCAGAGCAAAGTGAGTCTGTGTTTTCATTTATATTTTTATCCTATACAAGAACATTAACACACACTGAGACATATTTTGAGCCAAGATGGTAAAATGGACGTAAGGCGTTGTGGCTCCCAATGTGGTTTGATTTTTGTTGAAAAAACAAAATGGCTCTTCTTAACATTTGGGTTGCGACCGCTGGTTTACACCAAAGTATGCATAGCAAAAAACAGCATTAACAGCCAGAGTGAAGTCATGTTTGTACATTTCTGTGGAAAACAGTATATTTTAAATGACTACATTTGAGGAAAGGGGTAAAATGTGTGAATCTGATGTTCTGCCTAACTGTCCCTTTAACATCAGCATCTGTACTAAAATTCAGTTTAGCTGTAAACTGTCTTTTTAAGTGCGCTCCTGTGTGAGTGTGAAGAAGATGAAGGCCAGTGTGAATCCCTTAGTCTGTTTTTATTTGGATGGTTCTCATTCACCCGTACAGGTATCGCTATGGCAACACGACACTGTGCACGACGATGCAGTTTTCCCAAAACTGAACTCAGATGAGTCTCTCTCGTCTCTCCATCAGCCAGAGTGCACCTTAATGACCTAGACTAAACCATAACGTACATATGAACACAACAGCTTAGAGTATGAATATGAATATATGAGCCTGAGTGTTTGTAAGACAATAAACAGGTAGGGCTGGACATGGATTAAACAAGTCTTATACTAAACTGCAATTCCAGTGTTGTTTACCAGTAACACTGCTGTTTGGTCACAAAGGAATTCCACAAATTTTTTCAAAATTCCTGCATAATTAAAGGGTAAAGATGTAAACAGAGTCGTTCAGAGTGGTTTGCTGTGAAACGCTCTGTTCTAGAGAAACTTACCGAGTCAGAATTGTTCACAGTGGTGGTGACAGGAACCAGACGTCCACCTGTACAGACGGTTTACACCACCACTGTAAACAAATTTGAACCATTTCACACCAAACCACTCTGAATCACTCCGTCTACATCTCACACACTGGATTATGCAGGAAATTTTGAAAAAATAGGTCCGGAAAACCCAGTCATGAAAGTTTAGGTCAGTCAGCAAGTACACTTAATTTACATAAACTAAGAAAACATTGGCCATTCTGGTATTTTGACATTAAGACAATATCTGTTGATGCTAAGCTGAAATGGCCCTCAATTAAAATGTCCATGCTTTCAATGTTTTTAATTCTTAGACATGGATTATTGAAAACATTAAGCTTATTTAAAATAAAGCAAATGATTTCACCATTTATATCAAGTGCAAAGTCTTGTGCTGGAACTGACGCCTTAAAGACTGAAGCTTTTTTAAAATTTCCATAAACAGTTCACATCTAATCCTAAGTGGTGGAATTAGTCATGTTTCTTAAAGGGGAATTCCACCAACTGTTAAAAATTTCTGCATAACTGAAGGGTTAAGACGTAAACTGAGTCGTTCAGAGTGGTTTGGTGTGAAACGCTCTGTTATAGAGAAACTGACCGACTCAGAACTGTTCACAGTGGTGGTGACAGGAACCAGACGTCCACCTCTAAAAGCTCCCTCACAGAAAGATATTACATGAAACCGTTATGAATTCAATGCCTGATGTCTGAGATATCTGAGATAGTTTGGAGAAAATTTTGGCACAGCAACCATTCCGATCGGCTTTGTTAACATCTCAACGATTGAATAATGCAGAAATTTTGAAAAATTGGTGGAACCCCCCTTGAATATGGCATGACACAGTGACAGAGATGGCCACAAACAGTTCACACAATCAGACATCATAAACGCTTCGTCTTAAGACCAAAAAAACAGCTACTCTCATACATTTCAGTCCAGTGGAAGTGCCATCAGTTGTTCGCTTCTAATGTGTTGCCTTAATGTCCATCAAACACAGGAGAAAGTCCAGTCCAGTCCGCCTACAGGGCAGCAAGGAGCGGCGACGTGTTTGCAGCATAGCAGTGAGCTTGAGCCCATTTTACATGTGCAAGTGGAGACACTTAAACATAGCAGGTCACTTTCAATCTGTTTAACCCCCCACCCCCCCCACCTCACCCCAAATGTAGTCCATCAGCCAAGACACGTTTGGTAAAGTTTGCTTCTTTAGTTTTAGCACTAGAGCTACAGGGCTAATGTTGCTAACAGATAATGGAAGCCTATACCCCACCAATTAGCATAGTGCTAACTACATACCTAAATCATCACATTTACCTTGAACCATGTGAAGCTGTACAGTAATTTGTAATAGACTTGTTCATCTATGATATTTAAATTAGCTATAAACATGGAGTAAATTCAGACTTCAACATGCCTACTTGAGCCCTCTACTTAAAGGGGAACTCCACCAATTTTTCAAAATTCTTGCATAATTAAACGGTTAAGATATAAACAGAGTGGTTCAGAGTGGTTTGTGTGTTCTAGAGAAACTTACAGAGTCAGAACTGTTCACAGTGGTGGTGATAGGAACCAGACGTCCACCTCTAAAAGCTCCCTCACAGAAAGTTCCTACATGAAATGGTTATGAATTCACTGCCTGATGACTGAGACGCTGTTTTATGATCGTTTTGAGGAGGTTTGGCCTCAAACTCCATTCATAGTGGAGGGATACATGCTGAGGCAAAATAAAAGGTATTATTTCAGATTTTCCACTGTTTTCCATCATCAACATTCCATATAAGCTCAGAAGACTCGTGTAGGTTCACTGGTGGTTCTGGATAGTAAATAAAATGTCTATATTTGTGTTGTAGTCATGGTGACCCCTGGTTCCTATCACCACCACTGTAAAGACATCTGAACAATTTCACACCAAACCACTCTGAATCACTTTACATCTCACACACTGAACTATGCAGGAATTTAGAAAAAATGGTGGAATTTCCCTTTACTAAACTCCTGTTTTTAGCTCTGCAGCACAGTCCTTTCTAAACTTATCTTGATTAATTAACTACATTTGGGGTGCGTGAATTTTCTTTTGGTGAACTATCACTTTAAGAGGCTTTGTGAGTGGAGACGGATGTTCTGCTGTCAAGTCGATCGTGTGGAACTTCGTGATGTTGTGAGGGACAGTCTAGTCTAGTGCGCTTTCTACCACCTCATATCGAAAGACGGATCCTCACGAGCTGCTAAAGCTACTCGGATTTCTTCCTGAAACCCACTTTGTCTTTGGTTTCCTGGAGTTTTTCTGTCAGCTTGTCCTTGGTTTCTTCCATTTTCTCAGAGAAGCGATCCTTGGTTTCCTCCATCTTCCCTGAAATTCTCCCCTTCGTCTCCTCCATCTTCTCCGAGATCCTCTCTTTCGTTTCCTCCATCTTCTCCTGGAGGTACTCTTTGACGGGCGGAGGGGTGGACATGTAGCCGTGCTTCCTCAGGTACTTCACCGACAGAGACGTTCCTCCTAAAGTCACCGTGTACCGCGCTGGTGTGGCGATCTGTACGGAGGGAAGAGCAGAAACGTCAGACGCTGGAATGAAGTGAGAAATGCCATTAAACATCACTAATACTCTTATAATGATGACGTTCATGAACCACCAACGTGTAACTGCTTATTAAACTCTTAAAGGCTTAGCATACATACTTAAAAAAGATGCTTCTTCAAGGGTTCTTTAGTGAAGAAAATGGTTCTATATAGAACCATTTTCAAAAGGATTCTATAAAGCACTAAAAAGGGTTCTTCTACTGTTACAAGCTTGACATTGCAGCAATAACAGAGCCCTTTTTGGTGATATGTAGAACTCACACTTAAATATGATGTTTTTTGCAAATTTTAATGCACATTTTTTGGTTTATTTACTGAATTTGACATATTGGAAAAAATAAAACATAAATATGCCATCATTTATTATTATTATTATTAATGTTTATTTTTTCCAATATGTTAAATTCAGTAACTAAACAGCATTTTGCTGATGTTGTAACAAAACCTTGTATCTCCGTTTTTGTTGTTTTTCAGTTTTTGAATATGAAAATTCCCTTTGCCCTTTATATTTAATGTAAATTTCATGATGAATGGACCAAAAGAAACGGCCAAAATTGACTTGGAAAAAAGTCTGGTTCCATTGACTTACATTAAAAGTAGAGCATGTTTTTCTCGTTTTGGAGATACAAGGTTTAGTTCTGACAGCAGCAATATGGGTATTAAACTGTGCAGAAGTGCATCTCTGTGGAGGATGTTTTCACTTATTTACACTCAGAAAATCAACAGACACATGACAGGACCAGGCGCACCCAAACTTCTGCATACATCTGTTCGCATAGGCTTACTGTACCTTATACATAGCATATGCAGTCAGTGCATAGCCACTCTGGGAATTCTCCAGGAGTTTAACAAGCCGGTCAGGAAATCCAATGTACTCCAGAAACGGCACCAGGTTCACCCCTCTGAGAACCACAGACAGAGGGAACAGTTATTTTGGCAGCCTGTTCTTATTAAAACATGGTGGGGGGAAATACAATATACTGTAAACACAATATATATCACTGTTATCGGAACAAAACCTCGTATCTCCAAAATGGTAACTTTACAGGAGAAGGAAAAAACATAGTTTACTTTTAAGGTGAGTCAATGGAACCAGACATTTTGTCCAAGTAATTTTGGGCCATTTCTTTTGGTCCATTCATCATGAAATTTACAGACAATGTAAAGGGAAACAGGCATTTTCAAATTTTCAAAAACTGAAAAATGACAAAAATGGAGATACAAGGTTTTGTTCCGACAACAGTGATATATTAATAATTATACTAAAGATAAAAAACCTAAGATAAAAAATATAAACTCTATTCTTCACATAAACTCTAAGGATATTTTATCCAAATTGCACATGGGGTTTTGATTATATTGCGCATGGGAATGGTGATGAATTTGCAGTATAAACATTATAAACAGACAAAGCAAAAATATCTTTACACTCTAGAGATTTTTATACGTATTGCACATGGAGTATTCAATCAATCAATCAGTCAACCTTTATTTAGCCTCGGAGAACATTGAGGGTGTCCCTCATTCACAATGTTGCCGAGTTGATACAGAACAAGGGATTGATCATGTGTAGGAACATATCAAATAATAAAAGCAAATTAAATTATAAAAATGACTCTGGTAAATATAAAAAAATATTAATAATAAATATACACAAAATACAGGAGAAAATATAAAACAATAATTAAAATGTAGCTAAAATTTAAAAGTTAATCAAATCAAAAGAGGATAAATAAAACAAAAGGAGGATAAGATAAAAAAGGAAACTAAAAATTAATTAAAATGACTAAAATAATCATAATGAAAATAAGAACAATAAATAAACAAATAAATAAATAATAAAATAATGAAAATAAGACAATAATAGTAAAAAAAATCAGGGAAAACAGTTGCAGCCAGAGTGGAGGTGGTTAGAGAGTAAAAGTTTAAAAGTTTACATTTTTTTTAATTAAAAAATGATTATATTGCATGCAAGTATGGTGATGAATTCAGTTTATGTACTGTAGAGACGTTTCTAGGCTTGCATGAGAAACACACCGGTCAGGCATAACGTCATGACCACCTCCTTGTTTCTACGCTCATTGTCCATTTTATCAGCTCCACTTACTATATAGGTGCACTTTGTAGTTCTACAGTTACAGACTGTAGTCCATCTGTTTCTCTGATACTTTGTTAGCCCCCTTTTACCCTGTTCTTCAGTGGTCAGGACCCCCGTGGACCCTCACAGAGCAGGTACTATTTGGGTGGTGGATCATTCTGTAGTGTCCACTCACTGTCCACTCTATTAGACACTCCTCTTTGTTGGTCCACCTTGTAGATGTAAAGTCAGAGACGATAGCTCATCTGCTGCTGCACAGTTTGTGTTGGTCATCCTCTAGTCCTTCATCAGTGGTCACAGGACGCTGCCCACAGGACGCTGTTGGCTGGATATTTTTGGTTGGTGGACTATTCTCAGTCCAGTAGTGACACTGAGGTGTTTAAAAACTCCAGCAGCACTGCTGTGTCTGATCCACTCAGACCAGCGCAACACACACTAACACACCACCACCACGTCAGTGTTACTGCAGTGCTGAGAATGATCCACCACCCAAATAGTACCTGCTCTGTGGGGGTCCATGGGGGTCCTGACCACTGAAGAACAGGGTAAAAGGGGGCTAACAAAGTATCAGAGAAACAGATGGACTACAGTCTGTAACTGTAGAACTACAAAGTGCACCTATATAGTAAGTGGAGCTGATAAAATGGACAATGAGCGTAGAAACAAGGAGGTGGTCATCATGTTATGTCTGACCGGTGTATGTGCCCACATTGTTACCTTAATTTACCCCATTAGAGGATCAGGGTGGTCAGTCAGCGCTATTAATAAAGCGGTTATCAGAAGTGTGGGCTGCTGAACTGCCTCAGTGAAGCTCTGCTGGACGAGGCAGTGGGTGAAGTCAGAGTTTCGTGGTTGGGGAGCAGTGACTCAGGCTTTTCTTCAACGCCGGCTTTCGGTAAACATAATATTCCACATCGGATCACGCCCCCCTCCCCCACCCCGCCGACATTTTTTACATTTCCAGACGGTGATGCGTCCGTCCTGCCTGCTCCACATTTAGCCAGACATGTTTGACCAGCAAACACTCCGCAGCCTGCCAGCTCACTCCATTCAGCAGGCCAGGATGACCAGGAGGCACAAAAAAAGACAATTACCTACTTACACCTCCCTCAGCACACGCCAATCAGCTTACGCTCTCAAAGACGGTTCTTCTAGGGTTCTTTGGTAGACAATGGTTCTATATAGAACCATGAAAAGACTCTTCAGACTGACAGAGAATGTGCTGTATGTGGTTCTATACAGCCACTTTTTGAAAATGGTTCTATATAGAACCGAGGGTTCTTTGGTAAAGAACAATCAAAGAACCATTTGCATGATTAAAGGGTTCTTTGCATGGGGAAATGGTTCTTCAGACTGACAGAGAATGTGCTGTATATGGTTCAATATAGCCACTTTTTGAAAATGGTTCTGTATAGCACCGAGGGTTCTTAGGTAAAGAAAGTGGTTCTAAATAGAATCATGAACAATCAAAGAACCATTTGCATGGTGAAATGGTTCTTTAGACTGACGGAGAATGTGCTGTACATGGTTCTATACAGACTCTTCTTGAAAGTGGCTCTATATAGCACCATGGGTTCTCTGGAAAAGAAAATGTTCATGGTTCTATATAGCACCAATCAAAGAATCATTTGAATGACTAAACGGTTCTTTGCATGGTGAAATGGTTCTTCAGACTGACGGAGAATGTGCTGTATATGGTTCTATACATACTCTTGGTTCTATATAGCACCAAAAAGGGTTCTGCTATTGTTACAAGCTAAAACAATAACAGAATCACATCATAAAGTGAACCTCAAGGAAAAAATAAAAGAAATGGGAAGGATGTGGGCCTGATATGACATAGAGAATGTGCTGTATATGGTTCTGTATAGCAACAAAAAGGGTTCTGCTATTGGTGTGATGTACAGCTTTTAACAAGAAGAGAATTCTTGTTGGTGCTAGAACCATATTCAACACTCTCCATCAATCTGAACCATTTTACCATGCAGACAACCATTTAAGCATGGAATGGTTCTATACAGGACTCATGGTTCTAAATAGAACCACTGCCTTACTAAAGAACCCTTGAAGATCCATCTTTTTTAGGTATCAGCAAACAAAGTAGAGCTGGGCAATATATTTTGTTTGCTACAAGCTTGACGTCGTGAAACAATAACAGAACCACGTCAATAACAATAACAGAACCACGTCATAAAATGGACCTCAAGGAAAAAATAAAAGAGCATATGGGCGCTTTTATTATTGTATTAAAAAATGATTACAGTACATCAGTGATGTCACGATACTGAAAATTTTAACTTCGATAAGATGCTTTGAAATATACTGAAATTCAATACCATTTTCAATACCAGAGGCAGATAAAAAAAAATAAAAAAATAAAAAATAAAAATCGAGGGATTTTTACTTTTTCAGATAAATATATCCAAATAAACATAAACATTTTTCTTGTAAATCGTTGCTCTAAAGTAAGACTCATGGTCACAAGAGCACTGCAGATAAAGCGGCACGAGAGACTAATAGAAATACAGACATTATAACAACCTTAAGAACCAAATTCTTTCTATTTAACGAACACTGGGAGTTGCAGAGTTAGCTTAGCTGTTGTTAGCACTTACGGCTCTTAGCTTAAGAACAGGACGATAAACCTTTCTCAAGACGACAGAATAATGAGACACCTTGTCAAATATCTCAGTGATGTTGGTAACTGGAGTGATCTGAATTCTCTGTACAGTTCAGCTGGTGATGCTGGTAGCATATTCTGATAAGGACATTTAGACTATCAAACTACCCTGTAGTTTTAATTTGAGGCTGAAAAGGTCTTCCTATGGTTGAATTTTCCCGAGAAAATTGTGGGAAAATTTCAACAAGGAGCCGGTGAATAAGAAGCTGACTTCAGCTTCGTAGTTTTGATGCTGGTAGCATTGTTGATAAGGCAATTTAAGCTATTAAAATATCCTATCTGGAGTTTTATGTAGGGAACTACCTATAAATGTGCGCCAAGATAATTCGACAAGGTAACAAATTCATCCGAACAGTTTTTTCATCGTTATTTGCTTCGAAGCCAAAGTATATCCACAACTCACTGCAGCTGCCATGCACATTTGATGTGAATAGTATTGATACAATGGGAAATGAGTATTGTACCATTCCAAGATGATCAGTAACGACATATATCAATATCAATATTTTTGACAACACTACTGTATATAATACAACAAATATTATTAATTTTGCATGGGTTATAAGCTTCCATTACTTGTTAGCTACATTCATAGCTCCAGTTTAAAACTAATAAAGCAAATTTCAGACACCAAACATGTCTTGGCTCACTGACTACATTTGGATTAATGGGGGAAACTATGTCCGTTTAGATTCTTGCCAAATTATCGCTTTAAAATCACAGATTGCATTTTTTTTAATATACTGAAATTTGATACCATTTTCAACGACAAAGGCAGATAAAATTGAGGGTCTTTTATATTTTTTTTAGATAAATGTATCCAGATAAACATAAGAGCTCTCTTGTAAATCACTGTTCTAAAGAGCACAAGAGCAGTGCAGATAAAGAGGCAAGAGAGACAAACAGAAATACAGACATTATAACAACCTTAATAAATAAATTCTTTATTTTTAATGGACACCGGGAGCGTTCAGTTGTTGGCGCAAATAAATTCGGAGACCATTTTTGAATACTTTAAGGTAACCTAAAGTAAGGCTAAAATCAGATTGCAATACTTTAACCTCAGAATTACTAACTCTGGAAAAGGCCAGTCATTTCTGTGACCCAGCAGTCCTGAGAATCTCATACTCACTTCATAGCGCTGTAGTAAAAGGCTCCAAACCAAACGGAGGACGTGACCAGGTGCACGGGGATCATCACTTTGCCGTACTGTTTAAAGGTTTTTTTAAACCTCTGGACGAGGCCGATGGATTTGTCCTGCAGCGGATCGGGCTCTGTGAGGTCACTCTGTCCAGTGGAGTCGGGACTTTGCTGACCATCTCCAGGAGGACCCTTCTGTGGGGCTGCAGAGCATGCTGGGACGGAGGTGCTGACCCATCGCGGGCTGGAGCTCAGCTGCCTCAGGTACCGCGGGCCTGTCTTATTGAGCGTACCCCAGGATGACGGCCCGCAGAGGATGGAGCGCAGGGCAGGACGCCCGAATGCACCGACACAGAGATACCGCAACATTACTCACGACTTATCAGCTCCAGAGTCCCTGTGGAAATAATAATTACCATCATCATCATCATCATTTTGGACCATATAAACATTATAGAGCGCTTTTTAAATGAAACAGTAGAAGCCATATCGCCCCCTACACTTCCTGTAGTGTATTACAGTCTGTCAGAGTGACTGTGTGGATCATATGAACATTATAGAGCTTTTTAAATGAAACAGTAGAAGCCATATCGCCCCCTACACTTCCTGTAGTGTATTACAGTCTGTCAGAATTACCATGTGAATTATACACTATATGGCCAAAAGTATGTGGACACTCAACTGAACATCCCATTCCAAAAACAAGGGAATTTATATGAAGTTTCCCCCTTGTGGCTCTAACAGCCTCCACTCTTCTGGGAAGATTTTGGAGTGTATTTGTGGAAATTTGTGCTCATTCAGTCAAAAGAGCATTTGTGAGGTTAGGCACTGATGTTGGACAAGAGGGTCTGGCTCACAATATCCGGTCCAGTTCATCCCAAAGGTGTTCAGTGGGGCTGAGGTCAGGGCTCTGTGCAGGACACTGGAGTTCCTCCACACCAAACTCACCAAACCATGTTGAGGGCTCAGTCATGCTAAAACAGGAAAGGCTCTTGCCCAAACTGCTGACACAAAACTGGAAGCAGATAACTGTAAAATGTCTTTGTATGGCTGTAGCATTAACATCACCCTTCACTGGAACTGAGGAGCCCAAACCCTGAAAAACAGCCCCAGCCCATCATCCCTCCTCCGCCAAACTTTACTGTTGGCACTATGCATTCCAGTAGGTAGCGTTCTCCTGACATCCACCAAAGCAAGATTCATCCATCAGACTGCTAGATAGTGAACTGTGATTCATCACCCCAGAGAACACGTTTCCACTGCTCCAGAGTCCAGTGGCAGCGTGATTTACACCACTCCAGCCGACACTTGGCACTGCGCATAGTGATCTTAGGCTTGTGTGCAGCTGGTCAGCCATGGAAACCCATTTCATAAAAACAGCTCATGCTGATGTTGCTTCCAGACAGAGGACAGGTGTATTTTTAAGCCCATTCTGTGAGTTTGCGTGGTCTACTGCTTCATGGCTGAGCTGTTGTTGCTCCAAGACACAATTTCACAATAATAGCACTTACAGTTGACAGGGGCAGATCTAGCAGGGTAGAAATTCCACAAACTGATTTGTGGCCAAGGTGGCATCTTATAACAGTGCCACATTTAAAGTCACTGAGCTCTTCAGTACGACCCTCTACTGTATTTGTCTATGGAGACTGCAATGGGTTTGGCCGAAACACCTGAACTCAATTATGAAGACGGGTGTCCACATACTTTTGGCCATATAGTGTATGAACATTAAACACAGGGATTACGCCGAGTCCTGGACTACAGAGGGAATATATATAGGGACAGTTTTCCAGACATGGATTAAGCCTAATGTCAGACTACACTACTGTGCAAATGGTGAATCACCATTGGAAATTCTTATTAGTCTAGGCTTAGGCTTAATCTGGATCTGGGAAACCGGCCCAGAGTATTACGAATCACTTTTGCCGTAAACACTGCATCATGCTTTTCCGTAACCAACCTTGTCAGTTAATCCTTGCAGCTCTAATACAGAGTGATAGTGACCAATTACTGACGCACTTACATCAAATAGACTCTATTTGTATTAAAACACGCTAAAAAGAGGCCACAAAAAAGAGAAAAAACAGAAAAGTGGTGGACGAAGAGTCACAGCATCCCTGGCCTAAATTATGTGATCAAATTAAATGTTTAATAAGCAACATGAATCATATGATGAATGGATTCTATTTTCATTACTGCATTCCTAAAAAATGCCAAGGTCACTGCTAAAAGAGGCCACAAATGAAAGAGAAAAATTCATTTTTAAAGAGTGGCGGCACCCTGGGGCTAATAATGTGACCAAAATAAAAGTGAAAAGCAGCTACTGTCACACTGTGGTCAGTTCAGCATTATAAATACATTAAATGGACTATTTTAATTTATACACAAAAAAAAAACGGCTGAGGTCACTTCTGAGGAAAAAAAAGACCGTAAGTGAGAGAAAAAGTACATTTTTAAAAAGTGTTGACTGCATCCTCAGCCTGACACTGTGAACAAACTAAAAGAGAAGTCATTTATAGGGAATTTGGGTTAAATATACCAGGGGTTCTCAACCTTTTCCACCCCAAAGCCCACCTGTTTACAAAGCCCACAGGAAAACTAAATTTTCTTTTTCTTTTCTTAAGTGCTGAACCTGAAAACCTGAGAATCAGGGCCTGGAAAAGATCAGATCGTCCATTTTGGCTCAATCACAGAAACCTAAATTTGCAGTTTTGCTAAAAGAATATATATGCAGAGACGTAAAGTGGAAACAAGCAAAAACAACAGAAATGTACGAGCTGGACGTGGGCTGTGATTTGGAGCTGCAGTACATCGCGTTTTCACTGAAAACACTCCACTGCCTTTAGTCTCGAGATTTCTCTTTAGTTTTGAGGGCATTTGTGATTAATTTGAAATAGCCAAGCCACAGTCCACTCACCGGGCTTTTGGATTGGCGTCATCACAATGAACAATAATAGTAAACCTCACTTTATATCTGCTTCTTTGTAATCGGTTTATGAATTTGAGTTTAACTGACGTCATCTTGACTATTATTGTATCTTACAGCAGGTCGTGGTGCAGAAACGAGAGCAAATGAGGGTCTGTAAGGAGTGAGACGTCAGAAAAGGCAGATCATGCTGACGGTTCAGCACCGACGTGCTACTAAAAGAAAAGCAAGCCCTGTTAATGAATTCCCTCCTTCCCCCGAGTTCAGGCCCACGGATCACTGCAGGGTCTCTCACGGCCCACAGGTTGAGAAACTCTGATATATAACATAAAACAAGCAATAATTTCGATTTTTTTCCTCCAGTAATGACAGCCAGGACACCTGCTATGTCCAGAAGTGGGCAGTAATCGCTTACATTACTTACATCAGTTACAATCAGTAAGTTTTGTGTACTTAAGTGTGATTTTCATGGATTTGTATTTTGCTGTATTTTCAAATGACAATGCTTTTAATTCTACTCAAGTATATTATTATTTACATCTTTTTAGGGTGCAGTTTCATTCTGTTGTGCTGGTTCAGCTCCTGTCCTGCTGTACGGCCGATCACAGCTCTCACTCTGGAGCTTCAGCATTTTAATTTTAGGTAAAAAATAATCTGGAAAGGGGAGAATAAAGTCTTACAATCTATAATTTCTATTGGAGGTGGACAGTATAGCAGAGTACAATATCACGATTCTTCAGGAAGCTTTTTATGATACAAGATGTGTCACGATATTTGTTTTCTGTTAAGTTAAAATAGAATAAATAATAAAACATTTTAAAAACGGTGTTGATTGTATTCATCATTTCACACACTGAGCTGCACTAATTCCAATTAAACATGATGAATTAAGCTCTTTTTTTAATCAAACACACAGTTAGAAAGGGTTTTAAGTACTGATGATCTCCACGACTGGCTCAGAAAAGACTATTATGTGGTCCTGTTCTCCAAAATGTACCTACTGAGTTTCTGAGTCACCACCTGCCCTCTTCAGCTCTTATATTTACAGCAAAAGGAGCTTAAAAAACACATTTAAAAATACAGCAGTGAAATAATAACTTATTTAAAAGCAGTAAAAGCAGCTTCCAGAAACAATTTGAGTAAAAAAAGTGCTAAAACGACATAAGAACTAACACAGTTACTAACATAGTTACTCAAATTGTTTCTGGAAGCTGCTTTTACTTCTACTTAAGTTATTATTTCACTTCTGTATTTTTAAATGTGGTTTTTAAGCTCCTTTGGCTCGTTTTGCTGTAAATATAAGAGCTGAAGAGGGCAGGTGGTGACTCAGGAGCTCAATAGGTACATTTTGGAGAACAGGACCACTCTTTCCTAATTCAGGGCGTTTTCTAAACCCCCAAAATAATCAGTAATGATGACTAAATGATACCATTCAGCAGAACTGGTGATTAATCCCTGTTAAGGCCCTGCTGGTCATGCAGCCAAACACTGACATCTCACATTTGATCTGTTCAGCCAGTCAGAAGACCACACCTGCCTAAGAAACCAGTACATTAACGCTAGAAGTTCCATACGTACATGAGTGAGCGGGTCCAGCAGGGCTTTTATCCCCAGGATCATCTTTAAAAAGTCAGTTTTCACTCATGTCCCCTCTGTCATTCACAGAAAGCTGCAACAAGACGCACGAATATTACACATGGTCACTGTTCGCGGGAAAGAATTCTGGGAAATGTAGTCAAAACGGCTCTAACACGTCGTTAAAATGGCGGCCGTTAAAACTCCATTTCCCAAAAGGCTCCGCGCGTTTTGGTAGCCGTTTTTGGGGCTAAAACCAGAGTTCACGCTCATGTTTGATCGCTTATAACAGATAAAAGTTAAGACACAGCGTTTACGACCAACTCAGCGCACCACAGTTTGTTTTATTTATTTATTTATTTTCCTAAGCGTCAATTTAAATTGATCGTTTTATTAATTAGTACATACATATACACCGTTACATTTATACGATTTAAATATTTATATCTACCTAGCAAACAGTTTGTACAAGTGTTTGGTTCAACACAGAAGCAAGAAAAGCCGATATATTAACGCTAATAAAATGTAAAATATATTTAACATATTTAATAAGCGTGGTTAATTATTTGACGCTTCACACGAGGACTTTTATTTTGTAAATTCAGATTCGTGGTTGTATTAGCTCTGCCACAGCAGTGGGCGGCGATGTTGAGGAGGAGCAGAGACGCGAGATGGCGGAAAACTCGAGTGAGGCGCAGTGTTGTTGTTGGATTATGTTGTTTTTTGTAGTTTTATCGTTTGTTTGCGAGAGTAAATGAAATCCTGAGTTTGTCCACAGGAATCCTGAGTTCGTTACGGTGTCTGATTCGCGCTAATCCCGCGTTTCTGGCTATTTAATCCACACGAGGCTTAAATCGGCTTCGTATCCGCAGCTTCTTGTTCAGATTTTCCCGGTCCACCTTAAATGGTGCATCCGCTATCATAAAGCCTCCAGGCGCCAGAATGGAACTGCTGCACCATTTAAGGTGGAACGGGAAAATTCGAACCAGAAGCTGGGGGAAATCCCTCTGTGCGATAGCATTTGCCCCGTTTTCGTCTGTTTTGCTGTGTCTGTGTGATAATGAGCATATATTCTTATAAAGTGAGAGTTTTGTGGGTGTTTTTTACAGGATTTGTCACAGCAGAGCATCAGTCTGCACCCACATCCTCACCATCCTCACTGAAGAGGAGGCATGAAGGAGACTCAGAGGAGTTCAGATCACCTCCTAAAAAATTGGTTAGTCTTTCTAATCTGCCCAATTTAGACTTTACACATATTATTTTCTTCAGATCTGCTGTTTTTTTAGTCTGTCAGATCAGCAATTGAATGTGTCCGACTGCCTCAGATTACTGAGATTTCCCTGAAATATAATGGTTCTGAAAAGTAAATGAAAGCTTCTGTATAGAATAGGGGTGGGGCGAAAAAACGATTCTTAGATGCACCGTGATGCCGACGTGGACGATTCTGAATCGATTCACAAACGTCAAAAATCGATTTTCTAAATATTTAATTTATAACGTAATGTTGACGGAACGCAAAAGGAGGAACTTGGAAGTGCGGAAGTGCAGCGCCCGGACAGTCTGTGGCGGCACATAACAAAAACACCACTGGATGAGTGAGAAATCCGACCGGCTCCCTCTGCATTAAAGCCAGGTTAGATCAGGAGTCACAACCCAAATGTTAAGAAGAGCCATTTTGTCCTTTCAACAACAATCAAACCACCTTGGGAGCCACAACATTTATGTCCAGTATGGCTCAGTATGTGCTGATAGTCTAGATTAGGCTAGAAAGTATAAACAAAAACGCAGCTTTACTTTACTCTGCTTTAGCTATAACCGCTTTTCTTCCAACTCCGCCAGAAAACTTTTATTCAAAAGTAGAGCAGCTTATTGTAAAATGTCTCTCACTGTCTCCACCTGTCTCCACCTTAAATTCTGCCTGAGGCACCAAACGTAAATGCGGCACTATTTAAGGTGGAACGGGAAAATTTAAAAGAGAAGTGACTTTGTCTTCGTAACTTTATAGTGTTCGGCAGTCTCTCGTTGCAGGTTTAACGTACCAGGAAACCAACTGCGCTGCTTATAAATGCGAAGTCCATTCGTCTCCAGATGTTCGTCTTAAATCTCTCTTTGCCTTTTCGTTCGCTAGCCAGGCGTGACTGCATTGCTATGTGACCTGCAGTCTGCACGCCAGTTCTCAGTCGTTGAGACCCAGGGCTTTTGCGCTGTGTCTAGAAGTAATGAAATAAGATGAGTGGCAGCAGCGTCTCATGTGCTCCAAACAAGAGCACTGAATGAGAGACTTCTAGTTCACTTGCCACATCACTTCCATTTGATTTATTAATAAAAGATATTGGAAGTAAATTCATTATGGATCATTACAGATACTTTGCTTTCAAAGTAGCAAGTCCTCACAGTGAGAGAGAAAAAATCCTGTATAGAAAAAAAGATGCATCGATAATGGTTTTATAATCGCATCGCAGCCTCTGAATCGTAATCGCATCGTGAGGTGCCTAGAGATTCCCACCCCTAGTACAGAACCATGAGCACTCAAAGAACCATTTGAATGCACAAATGGTTCTTTACATGGTCAAATGGTTCTTCTCAATGATGAAAACTCAGTTGTATAGCTTTTAAGAATTGTTATAGTGCCAATAAGTGTTCCACTATTGTCATGAGTGGAAGAACCCTATTTCAGTACTGTGTAGAACCCTTTTGGCTGAGAGTGTACAGCACCGCGCCAAAGTCAAGAGACCGGTCTTCATTTATTTAAGAGGGAAATTCTACCAGTTTTTAAAATCTCTGAATAATTCAGTTCTTATGATATAAACAGTGATTCAGAGTGGTTTGGTGTGAAATGGTTCAGATGTCTTTACAGTGGTGGTGATAGGAACCTGGGGTCGCCATGACTACAACACAAATATAGACATTTTATTTACTATCGAGAACCACCAGTGAACCTACACGAGTCTTCTGAGTTTATATGGAATGATGATGATGGAAAATAGTGGAAAATCTGAAATGATAAGTTTTCTTTGGGGACTAATTCTTTTGTTCCTCAACACCCTTCACCTGTAGATGTTCTGATTCAGGTCAGTGATTTGATGTGACTTGGCTTTTCTCATGTTTGTGCTTTCTGCGTGTGTGTTTGATCTGATGGAGGTCAGTAATTTGAAGGAACGTCTTCTCGTCCGTGTTTTTCTCTGTAGGATACGGGAGAAGGCCACAGTCAGAAGGTGGCGACTCATTACAACGCTCTGCAGGAGTGCGGCCTGGTGGAGCGCAGCAGGAGCAGAATCCTGCACATGCGCAACTTCAACAACTGGATGAAGAGCGTCCTCATCGGTGAGATACAGTCCAGATCTGCTTATCTCTCCCACCCACACTCGTCTAAATTAGCCTCTGCCTCCATTAAAGGGCCCGTGTCTTGGAATTTCCTTCTTTTTAAAGCAAGAGTTTGATTTTAGTATGTAAACATTAAGTTTTAAAACAAATTGTCCACTCGTGACTGCATACAGTCCATATAAGGAAACTAAGCAACAAAACCTGGTCATTTTGTTTATGTGATGTCACAAATAGCATCACATTAATGTCTATCCCCCTATTTAGCCCCGCCCATTCAGGCTGAAGTTACAAGCAGTGCTTCAGCAAGAACCAGCCAATCAGAACAGACTCATTTACATATGTCAGCCTTAAAGACACAGTAACAAAAAAGCCTGTTTGATTGTAAGGGATGAAGAAAGTATAGAAAATGATTGTTTTAAAAAATGTTTTTGGTATAAGTAAGCTTTCGTTACTTATTAGCTACATTTCATAAAGAATTTCAATTTTAAATCTCAATTAAAGAGCCTTTTTTGTTGTGTTTTCAGTGTAGTATTTTTTCTGTTTTTTAATTGGTATTATTTTGCATTTTTTAGTAGTATTATTTTAGTACTGCTTTTTTTTCTTTCTTTTTTGCCATATTTTAAATTAGATATTTTTATGTTTATATCTGCTGATATTAATACATAAACATTCATGAAATGTAATAAACTAAGGCTTAATTCCATTTCACCCCTCGTCCCTACCACTAAGCCGTGTGTGCGCGTCTAGGGGTAGGGTGTCCTGATTGTTGTTGAGATAGAGGGGGAGAGTGAAGTGTTGGGGCTACATGACCCTCCAAACAGAGGTTTTTCAGAGACTCCAACCAGAGAGTTATGAGAAGAAAAGAAAAACCGGCAAGATGGAGAACAAGAGACCAAAGAAACCCACAAATGTGAGAATTTTCTCTGCTAAAAATTACGATAACCACTGTTTTATCTTAGTTTAATGTTTTAATATATTATGGTCTTTTTCTTTATAACAAGCATAAAAAATCACTAATAGTATGCTGATGTCTCGGTAGCTGTTTAGCTAACTTTGCCGTTCCACCTTAAATAGTCCAGCAGTTCTGACGCCTGAAGCACCAGAATGTAACTGCTGCTCCATTTAAGGTGGAGCGGTGAATATGGTGAATATCTGACTTCAGCTTCATATCACTGAAGAATTAGGGGTGGGTGATAATAAATAATTGCCCCCCTCTTTGAAGATCATATGATGCCCTGAATGTAACTAAAGCCCAGCAGTGAGGAGCTGAACTTTACCCTCCTCTGCTGTCACTGCAGACTGGCAGGGTCGCCTACAGAGCAGCGCTGGTAGCTGTTAATGAAGTGATGCTCTTTTTATTTGAGGGTCCCATTTCAGAGGGAAGATTTCAACCACTACCCCTTGTTACTCAGTTCCAAGGGGTTAGGGTGACACTTGAAAACAAGGGGTAGGGGTGAAAATAATAAATGGGATTGGGCCTAAATTGAGATAACTCTGGATTGGTATTACAGAGAAACAGAATGTGTTTCTGTAGGGTTACAAATGCAGTAAAATGAATTAAACGCAGATATTTTAGTGCAGAACTTCAACAGATACATCATCAAATCATTAGCAAATACCTACTAATGAGTCCAGAATCATTTTGCATCTCTCATTCTTTCTCTGTACATTTATAGTTCTAGAAATTTCTCTTTGATTGAATTGTACAGCAGGTCAACAGTCATTTTAGACATGTTTTCTAAATAAATGTTACTTGACCGTCCATCAGCCTCGTAGCTCCAGTGTAAAACTAAGCAAACTTCAGACACAAACCATGACTTGGCTGATTTGGAGTAAGGGCTATCAATCAGATATTTCACTTAAGATGAGATTTATCAGGTTAACAGCGCTTCTCTTATGTTTTTCCATAATTTAAAAACTGACAGTACGAAGCCCGAAGACGTTTTGTCCTGAATGATTCAGTGAGTGACTTCTACAGCATGTGACTGGGTGCACTGATGAAAGGTGCTCTATTACGTCAATAACGTGTGTCATCAGAAAGAAAACATCACTGTAACGGGACCTCAGATGAACTTATGATGCCTAAATTTACTGAACTCTTCAGGGTTCTGCACTAAAGAGTACTTTCATACACGCTAAAGCACATACGCTCACCAAACAGTGGAGTTATTGTGCAGAGTGGTGGGGGAAGGTTCTGGTTGAACTCATAAGAGATCTCTCAGTAGACTTTAGTGCAGGTTTAAGTGGTTAAGCCTCAACAACCACATATAATATCAGATTTTCCAGTATTTATTATTCAGGACTTTTCAATATTTCAGTATTTAGTGCAAATTTCTTCAGTAGGGTCTTCTTAGCAGCTTCTCCCCAAAGATGAAAGCTTTAAGTGCTGTTTATCTGATGGGGCAGTTTTGGTGTCTACCAGGTCTTCCAGGTGGTTGTTAGGGTCCTATTTTGTCTATTTTTTTAACTGGAAACTCCCATTTTTTCACTTAGTTTTCTTTGACTTTCTCCTTCCTTACGCAAGTGGATTATCTTCTCTCTAATCTCCTCAGAAAAATCTAAAAACCAAAGAACATGTACTGTTTTGACTGGAAATCAAATAAACAAAACTGCTTTAGTTTTGTGCTATGAGGCTGAATAAAGGAAGCTTTTAAGGCCTGGGCAGCTGGGCAGGTGTAATAGGATATCAGCGATGACTGACGAGCAAGGCGATAATCCCTGTTTTGAGAAAGATAGTGAACTGAAGAGGACTAGCCTAGTTGTAAATAATTTGCTAAATAATATTGAACTATATGTAATGTTTTGTTTCCTTTTACCATTAAATCAGTCAATTATTACAGGGCATTAATAAGCTGTCAGACTACAGTAGAGTACATTTTATTCTGTTTCTTGGGGTGTCCCCGAGTGCAACATACCGTCTGAATTCTCAGTATTTTTTCACACAGCTGAAGTTTAAAGAAGGTTTGCGTGAGTTCGTGGTTTCCCTCAGGCATCCGTAGCTGAATGTCAGAGTGGTGTAATGATGAAAAATGGCTTGTTTTAACACGTAAAGCACAAATGAGGCTTTGAAGAAACAGCCACGAACCCACACCAGCAGGAGCTCGAGAATGCACGCGTTTGCAGTAACAACTTAAAATGAGAGTTGAAACAGTTTATTGCCAAAATGTTAAGTTACTTAATGTTTTATATATATATATATATATATATATATATATATATATATATATATATATATATATATATATATATATGTGGTTTCATTAAAGATTGCTGTTAGTTGAAATCAGTTAAAAGTGGTGCTGAAATTTTGTACAAAGCATTTCGGCCACAAATTGTTAAAAGTGGCACTTTTTTTCTTAGTTTTTGGCCAAGAGAGAACAAAAAGGTGGGAATTTGTGAGCAGAAATCAACCAGAAGATTAAATAAAGCTGCAATGAAGTGTCAGAATCTACCACTTAACAAATCATTTGAAAAATAAAAAAATCAGGAATCTCTAATCGACTTGATTATGTAGGCTCTGTTTATATATAAACATGGACTTAAGTGTAAGCAGAATTTAGAATTCAAGGTGGCTGCTACGATTATTGCTGTGTACTTTCTGATTCATTCTGTTAGTTATCAGCTCCTGTGCGTCGAGTCAAGCATGTTGGAGCAAAAAAAACAATAGCATACAGTGGAGAAGGTCTCAAGGACTGGAACTGGTATTGGCAGTGGAGACCAAAATGAGTTTTAGAGCTCTTTCCTGGAGTCGGGCTGGCAGTTCGTATTGTAATGGAGGTTTTGTGTTCAGGTGAGATCGTGGAGAAGGTGAAGCGTGAGCAGAGGGATGTGACTGTCCTGGATTTGGGCTGCGGTAAAGGAGGAGACCTGCTGAAGTGGAGGAAAGGACGCATCAGCAAACTGGTGTGTGCAGGTAAATGCACTGTTTTCTTTCAATACCTCCGTCCACTTCTTCCTGCACATCTTGCCTCTATCTCAAGGTCCAGTCACGCTTGCGTTCGCCAACGAATTTTCGTGAGCAAAATCATTGATTTCAGTGGATTTCTGTGAGATGAACAATAGAAATACGGTCATATTATCGTTATACTGCCAAAGCCTACCAGTGGATCAACTGTAGTCATGCTAATGAGGAATGACTGACACCAAGAAGCACTGAGTTACACATGAGATGAGATGAGATGACCTCATGAATCAACCATGTCAGCCAAGGTCAGACAAAAAGAGTTTTATCTTGTGAATATTTCTGAGGTGAAAAAAAAGCTGCTTTTGACCACTGTGGCAAAATGGTCACTCCAAGGTTTTAACCCAAGATGGCTAATTTTCCAAGGTAGTCACTGGTCAGATCAGGAGAAACAAGCAGGATAATCTGACTTACTCTCATTAAGTTGCAAAAAAAAGGATTAGCCATCCAGTCTTAGATCTTGAGGGCAAAGTGGTGTAATCTTTTTAACGCAGAGCCATCGCCATGCTTGAAAGGCAGGCACAGTTGTGTATTATCAGCATAGCAGTGAAATGAAATATATTTCTGAACAATATGGTCTAAAGATAATGTATGCGGAGAATTAAACTGGCCCTAAAATGGAGCCCTGAGGGACACCTTAAGTGACTTGAGAGATAGGTGAGAACAGGTCCCCAATATTCACTGAAAAAGTTCCATCTTTTTCTGTTTGTTTCAGAATGTGTTTTGTTCTGTAGATATTGCCGCCGTGTCGGTGGATCAGTGCCGGCAGCGCTACGATGAAATGAGGAGGAGGAGTCACCCTAGCGAACAAATTTTCTCCGCTGAGTTCGTCACTGCAGACTGCAGCCGGGTACACACATACACTCACCTTCAAATTCCAGCTGGACTGCAGGTTAACCACACGCCTAAATCATCACCACCGTCAGGATAGTTATTCAAAAAATGTAAATTCATCATTACATCCTAGAAAAGTAATCTCACTGCTCTTTACTTCCGAGTTACTCTCTGAAACCCACACAAACCTGTACCGACTGGAAAATACAAGAGAAAACACAGCAGTCTTTTCAGTCTTTTATTTAGAAAGAAATAACCACAGTAAACTCAGTAAACGTCACTTAAAAGACCTGTTACTGTCGCTGCCTTTGAACAAGACATAGCCAATCACAGCTGATGCTACTTCAAAAGCCCAGAATCACAGACACAGCGTCCATGATTTCCAAAAAGAATTTCAAATGTTGATTTGTGGGTCCACAGGACACTTTTCCACTGCATTTTAAATGAGCTCGGGCCCAGAGAAGGCGGCAGTGTTTCTGGATCCTGTTTATATTTGATTTCTTCTTTGCGTTTTAGAGTTTTAACTTGCATTTGTGGATGCAGCGATGAACTGTGTTCACAGACAGTGGTTTTCAGAAGTGTTTCTGAGCCCATGCAGTGATTTCCACCACAGAATCATGTCTGTTTTTAATGCAGTGCCGTCTGAGGGCCCAAAGATCACGGCCAGCAAATACTGGTTTTTGGCCTTGTCCCCTACATACAGAGATTTCTCCAGACTCTCTGAATCTTTTAATGATATTATGTACCATAGATGATGAAAAGCAAAAGTTCTTTGCTATTTTATGTTGAGAAACGTTATTCTTGAATTGTTGCACTATTTGATTGTGCAGTCTTTCACAGAGTGGTGAACCCCTCCCCATCTTTACTCCTGAAACACTCTGTTTATTTCCAGTCATGTTATTAACGAGTTGCCAATTAACCACCAGGTGTTTTTCTTAGCATTACACAACTTTACCAGCCTTTTGTTGCCCCTGTCCCAACTTTTTTGGAACGTGTTGTTGGCATCAAATTAAAAAATAAAAAATCAGTAAAATTTTCAAGTTTCCACATTTGATATGTTATCTTTGTAGTATTTTCATTGAAATATGGGGTTTAAATGATTTGCACATCATTGGGTTTCGTTTTTTATTCATGTTTTGCGCAGCGTCCCAACTTTTTTGAAAATGGAGTTGTACTTCATAAATGAATTAACTTTAATATTTCGTTCTATGATTATAGATAACAGTGAGTCATACAGAGTCAGAAACCACATAATCGAGTCTATTAGAGATACTGAACACCTCCACACAGTCTTAAGAGAGTGTGATGATTTAGGCATGTAGTTAGCATCATTGCTACATTAGCCTAGAAACAAATTTCAGACACCAGACATGATGATGGACTCCGCTCTGCTCTCTCTCTGTAGGAGCTGCTGGGGGATAAGCTGAAGAACCCTGAGCTGAGGTTTGATATCTGTAGCTGTCAGTTTGTGTATCATTACTCGTTTGAAACCCACAGTCAGGCAGACATGATGCTGAGGAACGCCTGCGAGAGACTGCGGCCTGGAGGGTTCTTCATAGGAACCACGCCGGACGCCTACGAGCTGGTGTAAACAAACACGCGCTCTCACACACACACAAACAGACACACACACACACACACACACACACACACACACACAAACAGACACACACACACACAAACAGACACAGACACACACACACACACACACAGACACACACACACAAACAGACACAAACAGACACACACACACACACACGCACTCAGTCTGCTGAACTGAATAATTCATAGTAGATACTGAATTAATTCATATCTACTTAATTATTTGTAGCAGATACTGAATTAATTCATAATATCTACTGAATTATTTGCGGTAGACGGTGAATAATTCCTAATATCTACTGAATTATTTGTAGTAGATGCTAAATAATTCATAGTAGATACTGAATTAATCCATAATCTACTGAATTATTTGTAGATATAGAATTATGCACAATATCTACTGAATTATTTGCAGTAGATAGTGAATTAGTTCATAGTAGAGATGGAATTATTTGCAGCAGTTGTTAAACAGTTCATAGTTACTGAATAAGTAGTAATTATGGATAATTCATAGTGGTTACTGAATAGTTCATAGTAGATATTGAATATTTCAGTTATTGAATAATTCATAGGTCCCACTGAATAATGAACATGTAGATTAATAACTGAATAAGTTTTAATAGTAATGCCTTAATAATAAGCTAGTCGTGCATTATGAGTGCGCAGTGTGGTGTAATAGACTGTGTTCAGGCTGTTCTCAGGAGGGTAAGACAGATTTATTCCACATGCAGCATCACAGTGTCAGAAAACTAAACGCTCGCTCTGTGTTTGATGTGCAGGAAGCGGCTGGAAGAGTCTGATTCGAACAGTTTTGGGAACGAGGTGTACCGGGTAACGTTTCTGAAGAAAGGAGATTACCCGCTGTTCGGCTGTCAGTACGATTTCAACCTGGAGGGAGTCGTTGACGTCCCAGAATTCTTGGTCTATTTCCCCCTGTTTGTAGAGTAAGTGCTCTAAAAAATAATCCTTTTCTTTTTTTGAATAAATTGAGTGGCCAGCAGGTGGCGCCGGTGCACTGATAAACCTCAAACTCAGCTCAGGGAAATCAGGGCTGTTATTCATGAGGAGCAACAACAATGCAGCTTGTTGTGAACAAATTAAAAGGACATGCAGACAATAGAAACATGATGATGCACCTTTTCATCAAGACTGCATTGAAAGTAATTTCATAAGTAAAATATGAACATAATAAAATATATTCAGAAGTATTTAATCGGTATGCGTTATGGACATGTAATAAACACACCTAATAAAGTTACTGTTTATATACTGTTCTGCAGTTCTGTTAATATAGTACAAAATTCTTTTTTGGATTTATTTGGAATCATTTGTTGTTACTGTTATTGTATAATGTACATTAATATCTTATGTATATTTAGATGTAAACGCTATTTTTACGCTTTATTAATTATTTTAAGAATGTATATTAACCTTATACATTCATTCTTATTAATGCATATGTGTTTATACACAGAATACAGTTAGAATATAGTAACTCAAAAATCTTAATGTTATGTATATATATATATATATATATATATATATATATATATATATATATATAAACAATAAATCAAATAAACATTTTTACGTTTTATTCATTATTTTAAGAATTTTGATTTATTAAAATCTGTAATTATCTGTTTACAGACACCTTTGTCAAGTTATCTATCTCTAGACTTGATCTCCACCTTTGAAATATGATTAATTTAAGATAATAATTATATTAGCTTTAATTCTGGATGATTTACAGCTTTTTCACTCATTTTAGAACTGTCTACAGATCTGATCATTATTGTAGACACTAACATCTAATTCTAACATCTAATTTATATTTACAGCTTCTTATTGTCCGACTGATGATCTGAAACGTGAGGTTGTTCAGGGTTTCGGCAGATCAGAATCATTTTATGACCAAATTGGTTGTATATTATTGAAAACATTGACTTTTGAACAGTAATAAATGTGATGTAATGCAGTTTAGTAGCACAAAGATATAAATAAATGTAAACATTTTCACATTTCTCTATTTCTCTTGTCCAGAATGGCGAAGAAGTACAACATGCGTCTGGTTTATAAGAAGACGTTCCACGAGTTCTTTGAGGAGAAGATAAAGGACGAGCAGAACAGGACTCTCCTGCAGAGGATGCGCGGACTGGAGGTGTGTGTGTTTGTGTGTGTGTGTGTGTGTGTGTGTGTGTGTGTGTGTGTGTGTGTGTGTGTGTGTGTGTGTGTGTGTTAACTGGAATCAGATCACCACGGCAACCTCCTCACACAACCTCTCCGAATCAAAGTGGTGCAACACGAGTATCGGCACACATTCATCACTTTTTGATCCACTGGAGGTCTCTCTCTCTCTCTCTCTCTCTCTCTCTCTCTCTCTCGCTCTCGCTCGCTCTCTCGCTCTCTCTCTCGCTCTCTTGCTCTCATTCGCACTCACGCTCGCTCTGTATCTCTCGCGCTCTCACTCTTGCTCTGTATCTTTACTCTTTTTCTTTCTCTCCTCTTTCTCTTTCTCACTCTTTCTCGCTCTTTCTCTTTTTATTTCCCTCTCTTTATCTGTCTGCTCTTTCTCTCTCTCTCTCCTCTTCTTTCTCTCTCTATTTCTCTCTTTCTCTGCTTTCTCTCTTTATCTCTCTATCTGCTTTTCTTTCTCTGCTGTTCTCTTTCTCTCTCTCTCTCTCTCTCTCTTCCTCTCTTTTTCTCTTCTCTTTCTCTCTCTCTCTCTCTCTCTCTCTCTCTCTCTGCTTTTCTCTTTCTTTCTCTGCTTCCTCTCTTTTTATTTCTCTTTCTCTTTCTGCTTTCTCTCTCTCTCTGCTCTTCTCTCTTTTTACTCTTCTCTTTCTCTCTTTTCTTTCTCACTGGTCTTCTCTTTCTCTCGCTCTCTACTCCTCTCTTGTCTTTTTTTCTCTCTCTCTCTCTCTCTCTCCCCCCGCCTGTGTCTCTTTCTCTATATCTCTTTCTGTGTCCCTCTTTTTTTCCCTCTTTCTCTCGCTCACTTACTCTCTCTCATTCTTCTCTCTCTCTCTCTCTCTAGCTCTTTCTCTCTGTCTCTCTCTCTCTGTCTCTCTCTGTCTCTCTCTCTCTAGCTCTTTCTCTCTGTCTCTCTCTCTCTCTCTCTCTCTCTCTCTCTCTCTCTCTCTCTCCTCCTGTTTAATCTGTTCATGTCTGAGTGCCGATAGATATAATATATAGTTATTATAGAGATATAATGTATAGTGTCATAGTGCATAGTGCAAGAGACCAACATTTGATTTGTCTTATGACGTTTAAAGCTCACTTTCACTTTCATAAGTGAAAACAAGTGATCAAGTGAAATTAAATTAAAAACATTTTTTTCTCCTTTGCTTTGGCATAATTATCACTATTTTTCTCTTGTGTGTATTTTTACTGTTATTTTTTCATCATCATCATCATTATTATTGTTATTATTATTATTATTATTATTTATTACGTAGCTTGTTAAATTTATTTAAACCAAAAAAATTGTGTTATGATGATGAATTATAATCACCACCTTCATAGTGAGTATCACAATGTACTGGTGCATTTTTAGCCATCAATTTTAGCCCTAATGCTTCATCCTCTCTTCTGTAACATAAGAAAACAATGTCCTGTGTCTGTGTTGTCATAGCAATATCCGGCTGATGGCAGAGACAGGCTGGCGTCCGATAACCTGGAGGAGTACGAGCACGCTGAGAGGAGAGCCAGGACCTCCGGAGTTAGACTGCCACTGGTCAGCACTACACGCACTGCAATACAGCACATGGTTTCTCTTATTGTACGCTGTTTCATGTGACTTGTATCTGGATTGTAAACTGATAAGAGTTTAACCACAAAGGACCGGCCAACAGAGGGAGGGAGGGAACAGTTATGTTCTTCTGGACTCTCCAACACGGATGGCTGTGGCATCACCAGATCAAACTTGAGATCTCCCCACAGCAGGACCGACACACAGTTTATAGACAGCAGTGTGTCATACAGTGTCAGAAACCACATAATCTAAATAGCCACGTTTATATGCAGCCTAATAATGCGTTAATAATCTGACTAATAGCTCAATCGGAATAGAATACGTCCATGTAAACACCTCAGTCGGAATAGTCTAGTCCGATTGAGGCCATTCGGAATACAGTTTCTATCCGACTGATCGAGGTGGGTAATCCTGTAAATAATCCGTTAAATAGAAGAACAATATCCGTGTAAATGCCTGTATCTGATTACATTCCCTATCAGAAAGTTTAAGTCCGTTCTGATCTTGTTCGTCGCGTCATAGTGAAAGTTTATACCGTTCAACATGGCGGAGCAGAAACTGGTCTGCAGAGGAGACGAAGTTTATGCTCTGATCTTTAAAAGACGGCGGTGGGACGGACGTCCAGCTTATGTGTCTCAGAACACGACGTCTTCCTCTCGGCCTTCTTTAGTAAGGACATGTGAAGGACGTTTTCCTGAGTCTGACATCATTTTAAAGCAATTAAAAACACAAGCGCTGCTCACTGCTGCTCATCTCACTCTGACTGGACTCACATGATGCTGGTTGTCATGGTAACGTCTACACTGAGTGGTCATTTTGGATCGGATTACTTGTAGTGAGCATGTAAACGGAAATTTTCCCTCAGACTGTTGAGTAGAGTGAGAATATAAACACCTCAGTCTTAATCTGTAATCGGAATGTATTTAATCGGATTGGCAAAAATCTTTGCGTGTAAACACAGACAGTGAGGAACAGAACAGGTTCTTTTCACATTTACACATTTTTTTCTGCTGGAAATTCTCGTTGCGGAGTAACGCTGCTTCAGCGAAAGCAGTGACAGTAACAGTGATGACGAGTAGAGCGTGTACAGCTCACTCAAGTGTTCGAGCTTGAAGCAAAAACAACCTTATATGACTTTTGTCTGCTGACCATTAGGAGAGGATCAAGGAGTTGAGAAAACCTCAGTTTGGACGGCCATGTGGCCGTGTCACTTATCCCTCCATTTTGCGCGTTCACGTCTAGGGGTAGGGTGTCACGATTTTCGTTGAGATAGAGGGGTAGGGGAGGGGTGAAATGGGATTGGGCCATAACGTGAGTATCTGTATCTGATCTCCGGCAATGCGACTCAGTCTGAACAGCTGTATTGGAATTCATGCGACTTTTACATCAATCCAGCTCAACATTCGTCATAATTTCGCGCTGCTGAGACTCATAAACATTTGGGGTGATATTTCTGTACTAAAAAATTTGAAGAGACTCATCTAAACCCTCCGTGTTCAAAGAGATTCCAAAAGAAATGTCCGAACGCGGCCGCAGGAGAACGAGGCTACAGCGTCAAAGAACAGTTAAAAGTCTGAAAGCAGAGTTTAAAGAATCCGAGGACGCGAACCAAAGAAGTGACCGCACCCTTTTTACGCCTCGAACACATTCTGGGTGATCAGCCCAGCTGTCAGTCAGTGAAGCTTCATGATGGCTCCTGTGATGCTGGTGAAGATGAAGCTGATCCTCCGGGAGCGACTGGCGTTCGTTGGCGGTCATGATTGTTTACCTCTGGATGAGCCGTGAAGCAGCGTGACGCTCTGATCTTTAGCGCATGTGGGTCAGTTTAGGAGCTGATCTGTTCAGACTGATGTCGCATACAGATCACATTTAAAAGATAATCTGAACAGACAAACAAAAAAATCAGATTTGGGCCACTTTGACCTGCTGTGTGAACGCAGCCTAAGAGACCACACAGATGTGATTATTTTAGCTATGTGCATTACTTGTCATCTACATTAGCCTCATAGCTCCAGCACAAAAACTAAAGAATCTAAGTTCAGAGACCAAACGTGTCTCAGCTGATTCACTACATTTGGAAGAAGTGGGTAACTTTTTCAGTGAGCTGTTCCTTTAAGGCAGTGGAGGAGTTTGACACATACAGCCCCAGGTCTGCTGCTGAAGCTGAGTGACATTGAGCTCTGTCGGTGTGTTATCTGCTCTGACGTCTCTTCTCTTTCTTATCTTCCTCACAGGGCACGCTGTCCAAGTCTGAGTGGGAAGCTACAAGTACGTACTCATGTGTAGTGAAAGCAGCTGTGAGCTGGCATTACATTCCCTCTGCCTGTTTAAACTGCAAAAGAAGACCGTATCGAACACCTGTATATACTTACCGATTGCGTTTTACAGGGAGATTCACTGGAAAGAGGCCCTGAATATTCTGCTGTTACTCCCGTTAGGATGAAGCAATCTGAAAACCTAAAAATACGCTACATACCTTGACGTACGTGTAATCGATTGCATTAAATGCGGTGCTGGAAGTGATCTCTGTTTTCTGCCAGACACATGAAGGGGTACGGGGGGTTTGCACCCGGAGGTTAAACGTTGCGACGGATGTCCGGCGCCTACCTCATCGCTCCGATGCAGGGGCATCCCGGGTTGTTGGAAGCTCCATATACTGAGGAGCACATTGCACGTTGTTTGGTTCAGATTTGTCCTAGAGAGAGTCATTACAGAATATTCAGGGCCTCTTCTCAGTGAATCTCTCTGTATATTTCCAATTTAAATGACCCAAAGCATTGAAAACTACTTTTTCTCTGAACCAGGGACATTTTAATGGGTCTAGTATCCGCTGTACCATGCCTGGTCCAGTAGTAGCGAAGGCTACACTCTTTGTTGTGGCTGGAACACCACTTTAAAGGGCAATTCCACTGATTTTCTGCATAATTTGGTGTGTGAGATGTAAACAGGGTGATTCAGAGTGGTTTGGTGTGAGATAGTTCAGATGTCTTTACAGTGGTGGTGATAGGAACCAGGGGTCGCCATGACTACAACACAAATATAGACATTTTATATACTATCCAGAACCACCAGTGAACCTACACGAGTCTTCTGAGTTTATATGGAATGTTGATGATGGAAAATAGTGGAAAATCTAGAAAAATAAGTTTTCTTTGGAGACTATTTTGCCTTACAACATCTGCATGTATCCGTCCACCATGGACGGATTTAAAACGATGTAATGTAACGATTAGACCAATAATGAAACGATTAAGCCAAAAACATCGTAAAAACGTTACAAAAACTATCATAAAACAGTGTCTCAGTCATCAGGCAGTGAATTCATAACCATTTCATGTAGGAACTTTCTGTGAGGGAGCTTTTAGAGGTGGACGTCTGGTTCCTATCACCACCACTGTGACCAGTTATGACTAGAATGGAGCGTTTCACATCAGACTTATGCAAAAATTGTGCAAAATCAGTGGAATTTCCTTTCTGTTCTCACAAGTCAACAAAGAAAAGCTAGGAATCCACAAACCTCCGCCTGGCAGTGTGTGTGAAGAATACCTTGTTGTGTTGCTCAAAGCAGTCAGCTGAAGGTGTTATTGAGTTTATAGATGATTTTGATGTGAATTTTCTTGGTCACTAGGCTGTAAACAATGTTATTAACCCCGAGGTGAGGGGTCGGGTTCAGCTGTAATGGTGGTTGTAATTGTGGTTGTCTTCTGTGTTCTAGGTATCTATCTGGTGTTCGTGTTTGAGAAGATGTCCTGAACTGAACTGAACTGAACTGGACGGTTGAACACCGAGGGCTCCAGGAGTCTCAGCTGATTTTCTTCCTTTCTTCTTTTTTTTTATTTTTAATTTAGTTTTTGTGTTTTGGGAACGATGAGCCGGTCGAAGCTGCTGTCTTTTCAGTTTAACAAACGGATAAAGATGTTTGTACAACCATGTTTCTGTGTGTGTGTGTAAATGAGGGGAGTGTGTGTGAGCATATATATGATTGTCTTCAGTGTTCAGTCATTTTCTAAATAAACAGTTTTGTGAAAAATCTAATTTCCCTCCTTGCCACAAACGTAGGTCGTCACCCAAGATGTTAGACAGTCGCTGAGCTCCAAACAGCAGCAGCAGAACTTTTACTGCTCTTCTGTCCATTTTTATAGATTATAGTGTGTCAGAAACCACATAATCAGGTCTGTTAGAGATACTAAACACTTCCACTCAGTCTGAGGAGAGTGTGATGATTTAGCCATGCTGTTAGGACCATGTTAATAAGATTGCATCACTTGTTAGCCACATTAGCCTCATAGCTCCAGTGCTAAAACTGAAGAAGCAAACTTAAGACACCAAACTTGTCTTGGCTGATTGACTACATTTGGGGTAAGCAAGGTTAACCTGAATTAGATTTTTCACCAGAATCTCGCTTAAAATCAGTATTTACCTCAAGCTATGTCAACTGGTACGTTACGGAAACGCATTTCCACCAGCTAAAGGAAGAGAAATAATGTATTATGTCAAAATTTTCAAATAAAGACTCATTTTCCTGAAATATCGACTTGGTATCTTCAAATAATAACATATTCTCAAAGTCATATTCTTTGACTTATATCGAAGTAATGACTTACCTTAAATTACTTACTTTTTTTTATAATTCATTATTTTGACACAGCATACTTAAAATTTAATATTAACTCAAAATCTCAAAAAAGAAAGTCATTTCAAAAGAGCAAGTCATTATTTTGTAATTGTCATTTGTAATCGTAATTATTGAAATACTAAGTTTCTGAGAAACAATTTTGAGATAGAAAGAATTATATCAACATTGTCAGTATTTCCAGAAAAATAAGCTTTCATTCTGAGATTTTTTGAAAAAATAGGTTGTCATTTTCTGGATACTAAATCAGTTTTTTTGAGAAAATAAATCATTCTAAGTTTTGAGATATTTTGACTCAGTTTTTTAGTAAAAGTCATTTTGAAATACTAAGACAATTTTTTGAGAAAAGTTGAGATATTAAGTGAAAATTTAGAAATTTTTGAAAAGATTTTCCCCTCCTCTACCTGGTGGACTTCCATAGTACCTGACTTTTTCCCAGGAAAGGATAAAGAATGTATTAGCACCAGTCGAGTATCTCTTTCATACTAAGTGCTTTACAGAAGCTCGTTTCTATACGGCTCGTTAAGTTCGTGATCATTTCACTGAGCTGACGTCTGGATGGTTCCTCACCGCAGAGCACTGAAGTCAAAGTAATGTGATTTTTGATCAAACGATGCCCGTTTGGCGAGAGTGATGTCTCTGTTTATTCAGCTCTAGTTTGTAATGGTGGTGATGGTGTCTGGATTCTATGGCTGAACAAAATTCACTTTGTCACTGTGTTATTAGAACACGCAGCGTTTGATGCAGTGTTATATGTTTAATAAATTAGATGATGTAATCAACACACAGTGTAGGCTGCTTCCCGAGTAAATGAATGCCATCTTTCATAGTTTTGGGCTCCTTACTGTTTTATTTTGATGTACTGAAAGAGTTCTTTCCTCTTTTTTAAAAACAAGACCGCAGAACCAATTCTGCCTCCTTCACTGATCACACAGAGGCTCAGTTTTGTATATGCTGAGTTCATAATTAAATCTGTGGTTTATTTTGGGCTGATTTTGTATGACTTCACTGCCTCAAGCGTTGCGATGCCTCTTTCCGCTCACTGCTGCTGGAATGTAATCCTGTTTGGAGAATTCAACTTTGATCGATACGATCGTCTGTAATTTGTAACTCGTGTTTTGCTCTCTGGGATTGTCCAGAAGTGTTGGTGTAGGATGCAGACTCCATTAAAGGAACACTGGTGAAAAATAAGCCAATTCTTTTTTGCACTTGAGGCTAAAGTAGCTAACAAGTATTGGCAGCTTAATTACCAGTTAGCATCATGCAAACCGCACCCAGCCAATACCAATATTGCTACTCAAACTGCTAAAACATCTAAACTCTCACACTGGATGAAGCCTGCTGGATTTTGGTGAGGCTGCCAGTCTTATGTCAGATTAGTGTGTAGCAGTGTTGGTATGCCCTACTGAAAAAAACATAGAAACCATCAAGTGTTTCTGTTGGTTCCTGATTGTTTTATAAGTTGTTTTGGCTTTTGTAATGGGTTGATAAGCTCTCTGGACAAAAAATTAGTCACCTTGTGTGTTGGTAGTAACTTAAGGCTCCTGGAGATGGTGCTGCACAAGGATGATCAGGCTATAAATACCTGCTGGTTGTGCAATGAGATTCTTAGATTGAGAAAAGGTGGTACAGTGCAGTGAGTGTCTCGTTCAACGTGTGGAAAATGGGTCGCAAAGCAGATGTTAATGACTGGCAAAAATGAGTGATTTCCACCAGATACAGGAAGAAAAATTAAAAAAATTTTTTTTTTTTCATCGTTTTTGGCAGCAGTATATCAAAATTTTCAAATAAAGACTCATTTTCCTGAAATATTGACTTGGTATCTCAAAATTATGACTCAATATCTCAGAAGAATGACTTATATTCTCAAAATTTTGTAGTATACAAAATGGGAATTGTACACCTGAAAATCTCAAAAAAAGAAAGTCAATATTTTTTAATGGTTTGATAAGCTCTCTGGACAAAGAATTAGTCACCTTGTGTGTTTAAGGTTCAAGTATCTTCAGGCTCCTGCAGATGGCATTGCATAAGGATGATCAGGCTATAAATACCTGCTGGGTGTGTGACGGGATTCATAGATTGAGAAGAGGTGGTACAGTGCAGTGAATGTCTCGTTTGATGTGTGGAAAACGGTCCACAAAGCAGATGTTGATGATTGGCAAAAAGGAGTGATTGCATCTGGGCCAAAGGTCATGGTGTGAAGAAAGCAGCTGAATTTGCAGGTGTGTTGTACGGTCATACGGGTCGACCAGCAGTGGCAAAAATCCCAGCCTACAGGAAATTCTCATCAGAATTGTGGCCGAATGATGCAGTCTTCCAGGCGAGAACTGCTTCTAGAAGTAAATGCAGGTTCTTCACAACCAATTTCTGAAAGAACTCTCTGCAGGGAACCGCATACCATGAACATATAGAGCAGAGCAGCACGCAAGAGGCCTTTGCTCACTTCTGCTCTCAAAGTTGTCCGGTTACAGTGGACGAAGTGACACAAACACTGGACTGTTCCTGACTGGAAACGTGTTATCTGGTCAGATCAATCTGGTTTCTGCCTGTATGTAAATGATGCTCGGCGTTGTGTTCATCATAGAGCTCAGGAAGCCTTCAGTGAGGACTGTGTGGAGGTGTGGTTCAAGCTGGAGGAGCTCTGTGATGTTCTGGGGGTGTTTTAATTATGCAGAAATGGGTCTTTTGGTTGAGGTGACAGTAAATTTGAGCCACAGCGCCGACATTGAGCTGCTGGACAGCCAGGTTTTGCCTTTTGCGGTGAAACCAGACTACAATACTTGCAGAATTAATGATAATTCTTTTAAATTAAAATGAAGCAAAAAATTACAGACTTCTATTTTTTAGTTTTTAGAATTCTCTGAAGGCCCATGAGGCCCTGATGACTCACCACTGATGTTTATAGATCCCAGCATGTCACGTTATTGGAGATGACCAAACAGCTCAACACAGTTTGAAGCAGGTGTTTGCCTTTAGTGTCTGACTTAGACACAAATTTAGCACAGTGCTAATTTGTGGGGTACAAGCTTCTATTTGTTAGCTAACTTAAGGACTCAAACATGCCTCGGCTGATCGACTACATTCGGAAAGCGCTGTGTCAATCTGATTACTCGCAGAGCTGCTCCGTTAACAAAGGCACACTGAGTGCAAGAGGCTCGGCTTTGTTAGGGAATCTTCTGTTGTCGTGTTATTGATGAATTAGCCGTGTTAAGCCTGCAGGATACAGCTTCCTTCTCCGGTCCCGCAGCTGTAGTTGTTTGCTGATGAGTCAAACAGAGCAGATTCACATGTTTACTCTCCATGCTTCAGTAGTGGCCTGTGGCGTTTGTGCACATGGGCTCTCCACATGCACAATCAATCCCAGTTTACAGGCTCAGCAGCACATACCGGCAGAAATCGTTCGCCCGGACTGTTTGAGCTACCGAAATGTGTAGCTGCTGCAGGGTCACGCTGACCAAAGGAAAGGTCACTTACGCAGGAACATGGACAATGCAAGTGGAGCACCTGCAGGAAGCACAATCCTTTGCTCCCTCAGTGTTTATTCGCACAATTTTTGTGTCCCTAGCATTTACAGATATATTTCACTTTAAAAAAACATGTTAGAGTTACAATTTATTTATATTTTAAAATAAAACAATGTTATTTTAACAATTGCACCTTCTTGATCCATCAATTTGGCAGTATTGATTTCTAAATCAATTATCAAGAATTCCAAGCACCACAGAAGAGCTCATCCCCGCAGTCATGTGTGAAGGCTGAGGCCATATTTTGAGGTAAAAAAAAACCACAATTTTAACTACAATAATCTATACATGACTATGAAATATGTAAATCAAATGACATAAAGAAAACAAACACCAAATAAATATCATAAAATATATATGAAAGTTGTTGTCCCCAGGAGTCGTGTCACTGGTGTTACCGCGTAACAAAAAATCTCTTATTTTGAAATGAAAGTCACACTGATGACATCACTCGACTTCCTTTTACCTGTTTTCTGAGGATCTATGAAGAAAAGCTCATGGTGAGTCCACTGTGTCTTTCAGTTATCAGAGATTTTCTCATTTAGCTCATGATTTCATATGAAGCTCTTAGCTGAAGTCACTGGTGTGACCGACTTTATTCTGAGGTAATTGTGAAAAAACAGAACACAAATGGATTAAATTCCATATTTTAGTGGATATTCCATGATTGACAACATGTGGTTTGATGCTCTGTAGCAGCCATTTGGTAAAATGCATTGTTCATTAAAATGTCTCTGGTGTTTCCTTTATTAGGTGTAACACCAGTGAGGATCGGTAACACCAGTGACTCCTATGGAGAAATAGAAAAGTGGACGTTTATGTAGAATGACCCACATAACACTGACATAACCGGGCCATGATGGTTCTTTAGATTCATGAAAAATATGTTACTTATGGTTCTATATAAAACCTTAAAAAAAAGAAAAAGATTTTATATAGCACCAAAAAGGGTTCTTATATTGTGACGACGTCAAGCTTGTAACAATAGAAGAACCCTTTTCAAAAAGGTCCTATAAAGAACCATCCACAGCACATTCTCCATCTGCTTTCATGATGCAAAGAACCATTTAATCATGCAAAGCATTCATGATTCTATATAGAACCATTTTCTTTACTGAAGAACCCTTGAAGAACCACCTTTTTAAGAGTGTACCACAGTGTTTTTATTGTGGTTAAATTGAACAAAGTGGCTTCAAAGCTCTTTTACTGTCCACTCCTCATGGTTTTATCCACAAGGAACAGACAATAAAACTGGGGTCGTAACAATTACAGACGTGTATTTGTTGGTTCCCAGAAGTCGTTAGGCCTGGAGGGCCCTGGGGGTTCCCTGCTGCATGATATGATACCTATAAAATAAGAGTCCCTGCTGAAAAACAGCTTCTTTTTGTGCTTTGTAGTTCTGTTTTGTACACTTTACTTATAGCATCCAGGTCCTGACTGTTAACTGCATTGTGTGTTACTTGTTGGATATCTAGGTTGTTTTGGAAGGACAGAATACAAAATTCATTAATTACAAGTTTCTTTTCTGTAACTGTTTGGTTAATGTTTAGAATACCTTGTAAGAGGCCCTTTGATGTTATTATAAGAGAAGAAAATGTAACAAAACAGTCCATTCAGAACTGGCACTGTCAAGTTAATATGGCTGTGTTCACACAGCAGGTAAAACTGGCCCAAATCTGATTTTCTCACCAAATCCGATTTTTTTTGTTTGTCTGTTCAGATTATCTTTTAAATGTGATCTGTATGCGACATCAGTCTGAACAGATCAGCTCCTAAACTGACCCACATGCGCTAAAGAACAGAGCGTCACGCTGCTTCACGGCTCATCCAGAGGTAAACAATCACGACCGCCAATGAACGCCAGTCGCTCCCGGAGGATCAGCTTCATCTTCACCAGCATCACAGGAGCCATCATGAAGCTTCACTGACTGACAGCTGGGCCCATCACCCAGAATGTGTTCGAGGCGTAAAAAGGGCGCGGTCACTTCTTTGGTTCGCGTCCTCGGATCCTTTAAACTTTGCTTTCAGACCTTTAACTGTTCTTTGACGCTGCAGCCTCGTTCTCCTGCGGCCGCGTTCGGACATTTCTTTAGAAATCTCTTCAAACACGGAGGGTTTAGATGAGTCTCTTCTAATTTTTTGTACAGAAATATCACCCCAAATGTTTATGAGTCTCAGCAGCGCGAAATTATTACAAACGTCAAGTTGGATTGACATAAAAGTCACATGAATTCCGATGTTCAGACATATTGCTGCATATCAGACACGTATTGGATTTCAGTACCACATATGAAAGCATCTCAAATCGGAATTAAAAAAGGCAGGTTCAGTGTGTTCTGTCTGTGTCACATATGAAGAAAAAGACCAGATTTGGGCCACTTTTACTTGCTGTGAGAACAAAGCCTAAGACATTCAATTAGCTGAGAAAAGCAGAACTCAAGACGCTTTAGTTCATTAACTTTAACCATCATACTGTGCATTAATTGGAAAATATTTCAAAAATATAAAATATTGGATCTATTTTGACAAGTTTTAGTAGTTAATGCAGTTTAGTTTTTATGATATTTTATTTAGTTTTGTAGTTGGTTAGCTAGTGTTAATTAGCATTTTTTTATCATTTATTATAAGTCTAAATAATGAAAAAACTGTCAGTAATTAATAGTTGAT